GAATTGACGATATTATCAGGCAGGCGTTTGCGAAAACTAAGAGGCCTCTTTGTGGATTCGTCAAATCTCCAGACTGCCAATGTACTTGCTTGAAAGGTAATACAAGCACAGCGACTAATGGTTTGGGAGCCCCCATACTTGCTAAAGTGATGCTATTATCTAAAAATAATGACTACAAATCTTAAAATTATACTATTATGCTTTAGGTCTATGCGGTTCACTTCTTTCCAGTGAGCTCTTTGTAGGTGGGGGATTGGTCCAACTGATCTAGCGCCCCAACCTTTCTTGGAATCGTAGGCAGTTAGCAATATGACAGAAAATGCACCGTTGATGTGCAGAAGGGCTGAGAGGCCACTGGCATGATTCGAAGGCCACGCCGCCAAACGATTGCTCAGTCTACGGAGGCCTAAGGGCGCTTGTAATCAAACGCAGAGTTCAGCGAACTACTAAAGCACTACACTAGCACCCAACTTCTCCTAATCTCGCTATTCGGTAATGCACAGTCGTCATTAGTTGTACACACCTCCGATTATTCGCCCTGCCGACTTCTATTCTTAGTTGTGCTTTCTATTATTAACCACAAACTGATATCGCAACTCCTCGACTGATTTCGTAAATACTGAAATTGAACTACTTGCCACCAATCCTACTTCATATACTGAGGATTATCTGAAGCGCTAAATGAGGGCTCAGCATCTCCTGAATCACCACTACCCACCGCCAATGATATACTCTAAGAGTTATCTTCTCAGCCTTTCAAAGCAGTCCGATTCCCAGATTATTTGCGTAATTATTTTACAGTTGCTGATACAACCTGTCAAGTGTGACAGTAACCTTCAATTGGAAAACCAACTAGGAGGTAGATTTAGTACTGGCATTAAGATACTAGGCCCTCAATGGGGACTCCTCATCTATCCTGGTCAAAGACTCCAGATTACTCGGAACATGCGCGCGCAGTGTGAGGCTATAAAAGGAGTACCAAAAGCTAATGAAGTCACTTTGTTCAACTCATATCGCCTTCAAGCACTGGTTATGAAGTGAAACAACTTCGGGCCGCCTTTTAACAGTCATGAGGAAAAGTTGCCAAAACCTTCTTCTTGGGTTATCAGTCCCAACTATATACACATAAGCCTAGGAAGATACGCATCCTGTGCCCAAAATCAGCCTCGACGTAAATGTCTGCACGAGCAGACGAAATGTTTCAAATATGGCAAGGTGGGACATACCCAGAGTGTGAGCCCAAACGAATGTGTAAATTAACTTGTGATTCTGATTTCAGTGCAAAAACCCCAACTGAAGGGTCCTTGACTTTGGTTCATAATTTTCAAATAAAGAAAAAGTAAACATACCGGTTGTCAGAGTAATTTACTAGAAATCAAATGACAAATCTATGAGGAAAAAACTGACGTGAAATATTAATGTTTAATAACAGCCTCATCCCATGGGCCATTAATGTTGCTATAATGGAAAATACAGAAAAATGAAAAAAATCTGATGGGTGAAAAACCAGTTAAATTTACTAGTTTATCATAGTCATTGTAGTCTAAAGAATTTCATGATTATGACGGTTATATGCAGAAAACATGATCGATAGTTGCAGTGTAGCATACTTACAAGGCCAAATAACAAAGCACAAAAAGTGAAAATTATTAGTCAGTTATCAGAAGCGGTATTCACAAGGCAGTGGACAGCTACCTCTACTACACAACTGCACTACAATTTTGGACGGTAGGTACTAGCACGCACGTAGCGATTGAAGAGACCGAAAAAGATAGCTAATATGAAAGCTGCAACTCACGACTTGATGGATTGCATCTTGTAGAAGATAAAAGGTATACCGAAATTGATAAGGAACGTTGACAAAAGGGTTGCAGTGGCAATGAGGCCCTTATAGACAGATTCGATCTCATCATCGAAGAAAAATGGCAAAAGGCTCAAAGCAGCCGCCGCGCCCATTCCTAGGGTAAAACCAAATCGGGTCTTCTTACCTTTGCAGACCTAAAACGAAACAATTACAAAAGACGAAAGCCAAGCTAGCATCATATCACAATCCATATAAATAAGATATATTCACTGTATGACTCCCAATATAGAGTGCACCGCATTAGCATAATGAGAGCTGATAACAAGAGGTAATTAGTGACCTGTATACGATGGCGAATGGTGGGCCACGTGGCGAAAACAAGAGTGGCAGATATAATCAAAAGAAGCGTTTCTTTAGGTCCTGGTAAGCGGCTGGCCATACAAAGTGAAGCGAGGAAGCCTGTCGCTACGGAGACAATATTGGAGTCGGTAGTGCCATCGACTCGGGAAGAACGCATTCCGTTGGCGTAGGGAAGCGAAGCGAAATTCAAGAAGAGTAATATAGAAGTCATTGCGTAAATTGTGTCAGTCGAGACAGTATCCAAGAGAGAATGCAGAACAGGAGCCAAAGCCGAACTAAAGACCAGAATTATGAGTCCTGTGCGCAGAGGAGTAGAAACTAAAACACACGCTTAGGTTCAGCCGAATTACGGTAGAAATAAGTTACGATAAACGAAGAGTTAGGAAAAAGAAAACCTTTACTCACGTGCCTTGAGATTCCGTTCATCCGACGATAGGACCAAAAAGAACCACAGCATGAAGCCAAACACAGCTGTCAGAAGAATGACTATGGCTAGATAGTAGGGGGTCACTCGTTTCCAGAGCAAAAAGATGAAAGAAGTCACGAAGAGGCAAATGCTTCTCAGTTGTGAGAAAATACGAGTCTACCTGCACAGTTGCTGAAAGACCAGTCCCGAATAAAGCATAATAGTTGACAGGTCAAATACTTGTAGATTAACTAAAGAATGGTAAGAAGCAGAATAGCAAACCATTTCTTTGCAGACGTATTAGAAAATCAGACGCCACCCAGTTATCTGGAGCGGTCCTTTCTTCATAAAGCATCTAAAACTACGAAAAAAATTTGGACCCAAATTCCCAGCATTCAGATATCAATCTCAGATAAGTACAAAATCGCTTGTATGGCTTATACCCCATAACCGGAGACATAAGCACATAAAAGAATTCAGTCACGAAAGGGAAGTGTAAGTGAGAAAGTTTCGTAAAATCTTTCATAAAGGCCTAGAACCTCTTCATTGCAAAAGTGGTTACTACTACAACCAAGCCACCTCCTTGAACAACTAAGTTATTTACAACAAGCCACCTCAAAGTTTCCCAGACATTGTTAGGTTTCAAGGTCGCACAACGTGGTATTAAAAGTTTTCAACTTGAATTCTGGTTCCAGATAGTAAAACACGTCATACAATTTTAAAAGACGACTTCTATCTATCAAATGATGTCACATAAAGTTTTTTTAGCGAAGGTACAAGCAAATGGCGAATGTATAGAAAAATTTTCGGTATAATGGCGACATTTTAAGCATCTTTTTCCCGTATACTTCCATTCTTTAAAAGCGGTAATTTTTTAGTTTACTCAACTAAAAACGCTAAAGCTAGTCGAGAAACTTACTGTTAAGTGGCAATTTCTAATTTGTAAAATACGATTTAAACAAATCATTTTTTCAAAATCCTGTACGATGAAGCCGTAGTAAGCCATATAAACATATAAGTGTACAACCATTATGTAAAGAGCTTGAACGCAATGGTATTGCTGCCTTAAACGAAGTACAAACCGGGAAGATCGAGTTCTCTTTTTGAGCAAATTTCTACAGAGTCTCGACGATCCCCGAAGTTTTAATAACTCCTCCCAATAGAATACAATGTTTCTTTTTGACGCACGGAAAAATTGGGAGGCTATCGGCATGGCCGACGAAGTACGATGCCAAGAGGAAATGTAAGCCGCGATGTTTGGAGAGTCCGAACAGCTCGACATATTGCATGACTTGTCAAGAAATCGTTTTCTTGACTCGTAAATCCATTAAAGATTGCCACAAGACTTGACATTTGCTTCCATTGAACGCTAATGAGCTCTAATGTATTTGGAAATCTTCACAATAATCAGCAATTAGATATTTACGATGAGTGAATTAGTTATTGGAGGTAAAGCGAGTCTTTCCTGCAACATTTACAAATGAACTTGCACTGTTTCGAAAAGGATTCTGTACCATCCTCAACTTGATAAAGTGGTGGAACATTTCATAATCTTTCCGTAGGTCCTCTCTCCCCCTTCCTGTTTCAGATCGTTGGGTTGAGAAGATTGGTTAGAGGAAGATACCAGATGCTGCCCAATACAGGGCAGTTAAAATTAATCAGAGTTTTTTAGGGAATTGGTGTTTTTCTCCCTATGAATTGATAATGTCTGCTCAACCACGAGGCTGGTGTAATCTGACCGCTTGACTAAAAATTTTGACTCAACCAAGCATTTATTACATTCTTTTCAATAAAGGAAAATGCAATAGGACGCAAAGCTAGGCTCTCTACAAACTTTCTTGCAAGAAGCTATAAACTGCATCTGATTAGTGTCTAGCGGCATGCGTATTAAGCGAACGCCGCATCCGATTTAAATTTTACAATGACATGTGTAATGTATCCCGACAGCAGATCAAAGCAGCAGTTTTTTTTCAACAAGTTGGTATACATGAGGGGAAGCAAGCGTACCGATACAGCCATAGCATCCATTAATCCTGTTGGACTGGGGTGATGGTGAGTCACACACGCATTTGGTGTCCTGATCCACGCTTTACCACGTTCCAACCTCTTCGATCCCCGTGAACCGCCTCTGGTGCGGTTGAGGGCTAGAGCAAACCTCGATTATGGTCGCTACACCTAGTGCATTTCCATTATAGGTGTGAGCGTGATTTCGAATTGAATACTGACTAGATGGATTAGACAATGAAGAGAACTGAAGGGATGGCACTGTCTGGTAATTCACTTACCATGACAATGACCTATAAGGAACCCGACTGGAAGTAAATATTTCGGTGTTACGCCTTAAATTGATTTTCTTCCAACGACTTCCCATTTTACTTCGTCAGCTCCATTCGCTAAGGCGTGTATCGTACGAACATCACTTGGTTGCATGATTCTCGAAGCACATATTAATGGCAATGACCTCACCCTGGCAGAGTTCAAGAAAAGTGCATCTGCGTGTTTGGCAGCACCAATGAGCATGATAGTATGCTACATATGAAGCTAAATTCTCGACGCATATCTAAACAACACACCATACACTGTGGTTTTGAGTTATCAGGTCTCCAAAAGTGACCCTGCTGATTTCACCACCCCTTAAATAAAGCAAATTAAAAGTGGCTAAAAGGTTTGCCGTCATTATGCAGTTGAGATTTTAGTATTAGATGATGCCAGTTTATGCACGGAACCTTTTTGACATTCACACACTTCTTGATAATGATGCTTGGTTACGTACTAATCAGGGTAACATCAAGCACGTTAGTGCAGAACCAAATACAACACCACATGGCCAAGATAACATTTCCCACAAATGTGAGAGAATTTGAACCAAATTTTATGCCATTGTAGACACTGTTTTATTTTGAAAAGTGACTTACTTAGAAAAGTAATCATAAGGACACTAAACACCCTATATTTAGTGAAAAAAAAAAATACAAGGACGGCAAACAACTCTACAATTAAAGCAAACACTAACGCTGTGAAGAGTGCTTCCACTTTATGGAAAGCGGATAGGCCAAAGTGTGATTGGTGCCCCAATATGGCTGTCAAACACAAGCGCCGCTTAAAATGTACCGTCAAGAGAATCAAGAGTGCTTGGAGTGAATGAATTAAGGAACCTATCCACAATCCTATAAATTTTCCACTGCACATTGTTTACGGATAAAAGAGCGGAATTTTGGTCCGCCATGCAGGAAGTGCATATAATCATCGGGCATAACCACACACCCACCATGCCCGAGTGAATCTGTTGTGCGTGCATTTCGACGCATTTGAAACCGTTAGAGGAATGTGCTAGAAATACTTTCACTGAAAAGCTCTGCCAGTGGTTATTTGCTTGACTCTTGGTTTTGGTAGCGGCCCACTTAGGGTCGCGCCACTGTATCTCCACTGGGCGGCCTGGTCTCTGGGCCACGTCAATAACCCAAGGCCCTACTATAAGCCAAGAGCACATACCCTGCGTATGTATTATGTCTCCTTTCATCTTCAGTGAAGGCTCGAGGCGCTACAGCTCTACTACCGGATTGGAATTCGCTTAAATCGGCTCGTCAATTAGATTTAAAAAAAAACTGTAAAACATTCCGGCGTCACGACCAGCGGGTCATGCTTTGTTTCTGTTGGCTTAACAATGCAGACAGTTCACTGAACCTGGGAAACACGATGCGGACTTCCGGTTGACCTCTAAGCAAACTAAAATCGGGTGGACATATACTGGGTATGACAAAGATCCATTGATCTCTCGAAGCCCCGAACTATTCTGACGAAACGAAAAGGGTAATAGAGATTTAGATGGTAATGATCTGTTTGAAAAACAACCTATTTTTTTGACCACTGTAAGGTAATAATTTTGCTTATGGTATTGGATAAGCCGCTTCTGATAACAGAACTCAAATTAGTATCAGATCAGAGATTGTTATGGGAAAATCTTGCCTTAGGTTGTCGTAGTCAGTGGCGAAGGACTATAGTTGTAAGGTGTCCGGCGATAGTTTTACGCCTCTAGAATTTCTCCGAAAATAACAGCAACCATTGATGGTGTTACTTTCACTCCAATTCAAAATAGTTACCTACACTTGGGGAAAAATTAATAGCAGTAATGGCAGATCAGACTAGCATTTAATTCAATTTAAAATCTAACACTTAATGTAAAAATACTTTTAGTTAAATACGAGACACCGTTTTAGGCGTCAAAGATGTACCACATGAAATACTAACATGGCTGAAGTTAAAAGGTCAGTATCCACATCAACAGAGCAAGGTCTTCACACCTCGGCCTGACAGCACAGGAAAATAAGGGTTTACAGGAAGCGATGTAATGCATCTCTTCTGATTTTGGCTGTTTTTACATGAAAACAAAAACGCATTTATAAGAGCTAAAATTTTCCAGACACAGAGGAGGAGGTCTTCTTAAAGGCGATAGAGATGTGATGTATGCCAAGGAAAAGTTCCTAGTAGCATGATCCCCCACCAGCTCGATAGGAAGATGTATCTTGGCTACAACTTGGGAGTGAATGACTTCCAGAGTTAGATTTATCGGGTAGTTGTTTCTTTTTCCACAAATAAACACTTTTTAACTTTAGTTCTTTTAGATCCCATAAAAAAATAAGCACAATTAAGTGGATGGAGCCGCAAAGTTCAATTTTCCCCTTAGATTAAACCGCTTTCGAAGATGCGTCAGGGAGCAAGAATGAAATTGTGCAAATTATAATCAGTTTGTCTGCAGTTTTGATCACAGGTAAACTGTCACTAGTGCGCTAAGGGCGGGAGACCATCATCAATGCAACAGGTAAGGAGGAAGCGAGCGAGCGAGAGAAGTGGAATTGCAACTTAAGCACCACCATGTATACACGCTCGCACATTGACAAACACAGATAAACGGGATGGGGAAGGAGGTCCGAGGCTAGAGCAAACAAAGTCATCCAACAATCTAAGAAGCCATGGTTTCGAAAATATAAGAAATACGAAATCAATGAGGAAGGAACAAATGGATGGATGAGTTGGTAGCTGGCTGAGTAGATAGGTGAAAGGAAGTGAGGGAGGAGGACGAGGAGGAGTTGGGCGAGATAGAGGTGAAGGTTGAGAAGAAGAAGAAGAAGAAGGGGGCAGATGGGGTGTAGTATTCTCAGGCTGCCGTCTCCTCATTATTGCCGTTAATAGAGACCGTCTGAAGACCAAGCTCGAGACGTTCCGTGTTCTCGTCGACCTCGTCCTCATCTAGGGTCGAGGTGGGCGTGCTGCGACCTGAGGTGCGATTGGGGCTGGAACTGCGAGAGGCACTAGGCGAGGGAGGTGCCGAGAACGGACGGCAGAGGCGGAAACTCTTTTCTGAGCCTGCGTCGTCCTCGTTAGCATCCACCCGCTCCACGTCGTGTGTGAAGAGGTCCGGACGCTGGCGGTAGAGCGCCACCAAGCGTGCTCTACTGTAGTACTGAAGGGAAGCGAATCAAAGAACGAAACTGAAAGTTGTTCAGTAAATGCCACATCAATCACCCCTTCCACCAAACTAATTTAGAACAGTAAAACTACTCAAACGATCGGTTGAGAGTCATTAGAGAGAATTCTGTAATGGAAAAGGTGTGGGGACTCCATTTTAATGAGCGCAATTTAGATTTTTAAGTATGCCTGTTTCTGGAGTTCGGAAAACAAAAAAAATAAAACACTGCTTGACTATTTCTGGATGGAAAAGCAACTTCATAAATATCATAAAGAGAAATGCCTAGTCACTGTCATGGTCCCGGTAAACATTATGCAGAGAATAGTGGTTTCGTCAAGGGCTGTTAAATTCACGATCCGAGGAAATCATCGACAAAAGCGACTTAGGTATGCATACCGCAAATATTTTAGGCGGAGACAAAAGGTTCAAGACCCACAATTTCCAGAAGGAGTACCAAGTTTTCACAAAAGCTTAGCTCATAATCGCGGTCAAATTTCTAATATGCCTACTACACTTCAAAGTCAAGTCAAAGTTTCAGCCATAATGGGTAAGGATGCTCTCGTGGCCGTCAGCCCAAGTTTGATTTGAAATAAAAAAAATGATTCCACCAGTTTTCAATAAGGAGGTGTTCGAACTGTTGCAAAATCATTTTCAGATAGGAACAAACAAGAAAAATTCAAGTCATGGAGGGGGACAATTTATCCAAAATTCAAAGACCAAAGAGCCAAGAAATATTTTGATCTGTTAGTGTCACGAAATTAGGCGATGATGGGATTTACAAGCGAGGTGGTGACTACGGACAATTAGTAATGCCTATCTAAAAAGTGCTCTAATCCAAATGCTCAATAAGTTCTTTACTTAAATTTTGATCATATTCACGACATTGTGACGGTAACATCTATCCGATTGTTTATATGTCTCCTTCCTACTACCCACCCAATGTAAGATGTGCCAGTCTTATTTGCTAATGGACTTTGACCTAGCCGTCTGCCAAACGATGATCGTCATTGCAAGACAATATTCACAGTTGTCAGCTAAGATTGTTTACTCTGGACCGGAAGATATTAAAAAGCCTTCCTGTCAGAGTATGTTGAATTGCACAACCAAACGGTTCAAAGCAGATAAATGTGCCCTCAGAAGTGCCAAAACTGGACCAGACGAGAAAATGAAGCACAATAGTTGACAAAGGAAACGACATGAGACCCAGGGCTTCAAGTTGAGGGAGAAGACAGAGGTCGGAACCACATCCGGTTTCGAGGTACCTGCATAAACAGCTACGGGACCCACAATAGCACCAAATTCGCAACACTGACTTTGCGTGAGTAACCGTCACCGCCATGAGTGCGTTCGGCCATGTGATGTAATGTAAGGTCCGGGTCTGCGATGCACCGACTATGAGATCCGAACGTGAGCAAATCCATCAGGTTGTGATTTACCATGAATCCTCCCACATAGGCAAGTACATCAATACTGTAGTATAAGACACCAAAGATTTAGACAGTGCTGTGGAGCAGACTGAAATCGGTGCAGTTTGAGCAGACTATGCGATGTGACAATAAGGAAGTAAGAAATCGACTATAGAAGAATAAGAACGACCAAAGTCTACGAGCGTAGACGCGGCAGCATAAATAAATGCAACAACGGAAGGCGTACTGCTGCCTTACGTTTATCAAACGGCCACGTTAAACAGTCTTGACCCAATGATGAATCATCGCAACGTATTTGGAGTGAGGGCAAAGGAGCATTCAAAATTTCAATTTTGGAAGCGACATTTGTGTGCATGGAGGGACGACTCTCAACCGATTTGTATTATTAAGTGCATATACCATGATGCACAATGAATGAGATTAAAAGGGGACAACTGTAAATCATAGCAAATGCTAAGCACGATAGTGATCGGTCTTCGCTGGGAACAGATAGCTGAGAGTGGTCATGAACTTACTACACCGAGATTTTTCCAATCAAGCAGTTCACTAAGTCGCTCGGTTCGGTTTCGCAAAATGACGCGCTGCCTTCGTGAGTACTGGCAGAATTCATGCAGGCACTGTAAAAGAGGAATAAACATGCCGGTGACTACGCCTGAGAGTGCAGTGAACAATAATGGGTTGCAGCTACCTTGGGAAAAGGATTCAGATGAAATTAATGCATTGAAACTTATCAAGTGCAGTACCCATATTGCATGACTGTTATTACTCTATAATATAGTCCACTGGATTATGGGAAAATCGCACCACATTGATAGTAGTTTAAAGCAAATGTCGCAAATATTAGGCTAAAATCTTATTGAAACAATCTCCTTTAATAAAGAACTTGGTATTTTGACGCGGATTTTGTCTATAAATCATCTATAGGTACCACAAATGGGTGTATTTTATCTACCAAGCCACCTAAACAGTGTTTTGTGATTTAGCCGAATGTAAATAAGTCAGCAAAGTTAATGCCAAAAAAAATTGGTTTTTGATTCAGTTGGAGGTTACTCAAAGAGCCGAAAAATACATAAAACCATTGAGGAAAATTTGTCAATGCTATTAGGTAAATATTACTAACAATTGTATTATTGAAGGCATAGTTAGAATGAGAACTCACCCTTGTCAACTGCTCAACGGACGCATCGACACTCTGGAATCGACGGTCCACAATATAGATGCCGTAAGAAGCGGGATCCTCAATGTGCTCTTCCATAAAGCAACCGAAACCCGAGAGATTGGTTGTAACCGATGGGATACCCATGACTGTACATTCCGCTGTAAAGAAATTAGGTAACTCCTCGTTTTATTACCACAATTTAACATAGGTACAAGTTAATTGTATAAAGATTGCAATGAATATTACCGGGGGTGTAGCCCCAAGGTTCGTAATAGGAGGGAAAGACACCCAAATGACAACCACGGACAAATTCCTCATAGTCCATCGGCAGAAGGGGATTGGTTGAACTAAGGAATTCCGGATGGAAAATGACCTGCAACACGTTAGAGCACTTGGTTTTCACGAATATAGAAGGAAGACTGATTAAGTGGTATGACAAATGAATGATCGTAAATAAAGGAACGTTAGAAACAATTGTATATCACGTCTCAAATTGATATACAGGATTTCAACAAATAAACTGAAAGCGATTAAAATAAAGGCGCCCACTACTTATACTTCGGCTAGCTTAGTAGCAAGACACTGTTACAAAATACATATATATATATAGAAGCCCATTTGAAAAGAAATACACTTGAAGATAAGGTGATCCGGATATGGAGATAAAGTATACTTTAGGAGAATAAAAAATCAAGGCTTACATAGTAAAAAAATGTGGGAGAACTAACTTTCACAGCAAATCTTTTCAGACCATATCGCAAGTAGGAACGACGTAGCTTACAAATTCAAAGAGCAAACCATACATACTCAAATTAGTTTTTCTGTATAATCAAAGGTTTGGTCGTCAGAAAATTGAGCTATAACATTCAATCTTATTAAATTAGACGTGCATTTTCTGGGAAGATGTTACAGTTAGAAGTTCAATTAATACAGCCAATATAGTTGCGCAACCTTTAGGTTCAAAAGGTGAATTTTTACAAAGAAAGACATCCAGTAATAATTGAGTCATGAAAAATATGAAATAAAATAATGGGAGGAAAACATTTCATAGAGTTTGTTGAAGGAAATCTTCCTTGAATATGGAAATCAGGAAACAGATTAAAACACCTACAACAATTTAACCAACTATGACCAACTTAACTCGCATAGGCTTCACCAAGTCAGCTATATCTCCCTATGAATAGCAATTTCATAGCGAAGGCATGCGGGATGGAAGGAGGCTCTAGGTTCTCGAACTCACCTTGACACGGTCGTACCGGTTGTTGAAGAGGCGGCAGCGACGGAGGTTGCAGAGAACCAGATCAATGTTATCCTGCACAATGTTGTGCGTGCAGATAGGCGGGAGGTTGTTGCGCTGTGTAGCGTAAATGCAGCGCTTCAGCCTGACAATGTCCTCCTACATCGAAAAAAAGGATACATTCAGGGGACAATATATTTTGCCAGGAAGAAATAACTAAGTTCCACACTCTGATAACTGAATTAAGACAACTAAAGTAATGAACGCATCGTTTTACGTTGTTTTGATGATAAAAATGTGATCCGATGAAAATCTTATTCTCAAATGATAGTCGCAATGTATTTTGCACCCAATTTCATAGTCATTCAGATGTTTAAATGAGGCACTTTTTGCACAACGGCTTTTTTTGACTAAATGTATCGTATTGCCGATAAATGTTTTCAAACTGTTGAGGAAACTAGGGTGATGCATTGGCTGATTTGTTGCAAGAAACGCAAAACATTATTTTTCACAAAGGACGCTTTCAATGTACATAATCTTTTACCTCGACCACGCATACACTATCTACTGACCGCAATTTTCTCTTCGGTTCTCAGGAATGACTTCACTAGACTTAGTATTAGAATTTTTTGTGACAGTCGATAAACGCACTTAGCACGAGACGATTGTGTTCCTAACTCACCAGACATTTCCAGATTTTCCTGACTATTTTCGAGCTTTCCTGACTTTGGTCCAACATGATTCTATAGATTCCTAAATTACGAGACAAAATACGGTGACCTTTCAATTTTTGACTTCAAAGAAGTTTGAACAAAGTTTTCGGACCGAATTCATTACAATTACAGCTTCATTCGACATGACACATTCCTCTGGAACGAATGTTTCAATAAATTACCTGAATAAGAGTTTATTTGAAAAAATTTACTTTATTTAGTATGCGAGATAAGCTCACCCTCCAGCGACGCTGTAATAAACTGATATACGTATTGGGTGAAAAATTATCCAGTTGCGCACATTGTAGAGTGAAGAAGTCATAAACCAAAGCAATTAAACTACAACTTGCTATTTAAAATACTTTAACGGGTAAAAATAGTTAGAAAAAGGTGTTGTTCTGAAGTGCGATTTACTCAGTGAAAGGTCAACTAAACTAACAGAGGAGATTTTCACCTCACTTCAGTTGATGTAATAAGTCTGGAATGAAGATTCAAAAACGCCCAAACATTGGCAATACTTGCTAAATGCTTAACCAATAGAAAGCATGGCCGGTGTATTCGTGACTGACCTGATGAAGAACGTCTGCACCAGTCGGAATTCGACCTCGGAGACAGACTTCGAAGAGTCTTGTCCCCATGTCGTTTTGAATATCGTTGCAAGTTTCTCGAAGTTGTTTTACTATTGCTTGCGCTCTGAATGAGTCTACATTAAAACTATTGGTTGCAGCGGGGAAAATAAGGAAAGCAACGACGGTGACATCACTTCCTTGCTCCTATTTGGGGTAGAAAGCAAAATTCAGAGACAAATGAGATTTTAAAACAAGATGAAATTCCACATTGACTGTTGGATTACAACATACATATAGGATTGAGATCCTGATCCATAAACACATGATCGACAAATCCCTATGAAATGGGCCTTGAATTGTCTTGAATACTTCCACTGTTGCTACAATTTTCATGCTTTTATTTTTTTTGACACCTTATCCAGATGCATTTCTCGTAAACGTGATTTACCGGAGCTCGTCAGCACGCATAAACTTTTGACCAATCTGCTCCCGGAAAATGGTGAGCGTGCAACGCACGGAAGCAAGCACACAGGCTGGCCATACGTGAAACAATGCGTGACATGCAAAAAAGCATTTTTAAAGCGGATAATTAGCAAAAATCCTGCCACGTAATGCTCATTTCAAAGCCAGAAACCACAAATTCTTTTACATTCCCATTTGTACTATGACCTACACAAAGTACCGATTTGCCAAATTATGCGCCGGTTTATACACTTAACACAATGTGCACACCCCAAAAGGCTCAAAAGAAATGTCTTGAATCCACTTACCTGCAAACGATGATTTAAGCGAGCAAGAGCTTCGATAAATATATCAGCACCTTTATTTTGAAATTCATATCGACCGGCAATAAAAAAGTATAGTGTCTTGTCCAAATCAAAATCGTAGTGTCTAAAAATATCACGAAAATAAAAGTAAAGAACTCATCTAACATGGTTTTTAAATAATTTGTGCCAGAAGACACTGAATAGTAGCTAAGTAGTTGCGCATAAAAAGCCTTGTGAGTTGATTAAATGATTTGCAGCATTCAAGGGGCACTATGAACAATGGCATAGGGCGATTAAGTGATTTTGCTTACAAACCCGAGTCCCGAAAAAGGAAACGTTTTAAAGCCAAAAATATCCTGATAAAGCTTGCAATAGCGCGAATCAAAAACAGTGTGGAGGACAAATTTAACAAAAATAGTATAGTATAGAGTCTAAGAAAGTCTAAAAGTAAACCCAAGTTAACAAGAGGAGTATACTGTCACGGTCTACGAACACAGCCCCATCCAAATAAATAAGGATAAAAGTGCTAGAAAGGAAAACAATATGCACAAACAGACACGCTAGAGACTTTCTGGCAAGGTCAGAAGAAATAGGTGGCTAAAAGCACCAGAACTGACCCATAAAAGTGGCCTTGAATGAACTGGTGCAATTTCTGCTTTGCAAGCGCGTGCCGATTTTGGAATTCATGAAGAGCCGCAAACTTGATGAGGTTGAGACCATTGGGCGTAATGATGTCAGGCTCGCGTCGAAGGAGGTACTTGCTCTCCAGACCAGTAATTTTACTTACTGTTGTGAAAGCGTGAGCACAGTGGACAGCAGCCCTCTCTAAGCAATAGCGGTGGTAAATATTACGGTCTCCAGCTTCCTAAAATACAAAAGTGACATTAATAACCAAATTCCCTACCAAAAGGAGTTAAATCGATTTAGGACAATATTTATAAATAAGCTTCAGATAAATACTATTTAAAACCGACGTAAAAACTTTTGTATCAGTCTAATATAAAATAGCAATTTGTCATGCACTAAGAAATAACAGATACAAAGAAGCATGCCTTGTCAAGATCAAATTTGTCCAAATTATTGTACAAATCAACTGAAGCAGCACACAAATATCTTCCGAGGAGTGTGGCATGCGTCGTAAAGATTGTAGCTACGTTAAGGTGGCGCGTACGAGTGAAGATCAATCCGCAGCCAGCGAGCCACTCATGGAAGTGAGCGACAATAGGAGGTTTGACACCCTCAGTTTCAGCATCCAATTCATCTCTGAACTAATAATAAGTGAAATCCACTAAGAAACTTAAAGCGCCCAACAGAAAGGGGGAGAACTTTAATTTTCTTACTTCTTTCAAAAACCATGAGACGAGTGCACCAAAAATAAGTGCATCATTGCACTCACTGTCATGAACAGGAACTCCAATGTTGCAATTGTCCCAGAGTTCTTTTTTCCAAGAATCTATGCGCCATGCAGATGAACCGATATCAAATAGAAGGACATATGGATACCCTTCGATAAGCCATCGGCCAAAAACCAGCTAAAGGTGAGAGAATATAGGACTATGAATTACATTGATATCGTGTTTACGTAGCTTTTGAAGAGCGCGCTTGAGGGGTTCCGAGGCCGGTTCTACAATATCAACTTCTGTGCGCATGCAGACTTCGTTGAGGGGACCGATGAGTACATATCGATCACCAAGTTCCTCAACGGTCGTGGCAGCTTTCGTTCTAATCACAGTGTATATGCCTCCGACTAAAATTTATTCAGTCGGATCATTTAACAATTTCACATGTGCGAGTAAATCAAAGAGTGACAAATATAAAGTGAAATAAATATGATGTACCTTTGTTGACTACTTCCCAGGCAACCTCAAAGACGTACTTCTGCTTATAAATGCCTTCATCGATTGACTTATCTAGGCCCAAAACATCAGCACTTGCGGATACATCTTTGATAAATCGCCCAACACTCGCCCGCCGATGCATATTCAGAGATTATTTGCTTACCCGCCCCAATGGATTATTATATGCACTGTACATTTCATTTGACCAAGTTAAACGAACTAGTAATGGCAAGCATTAAAAAGGAACAAACATTTTATTAGCAGCTGTTTTGCGAGGCAGTAATATTTTATATGGCTAGCGAAAAATAGCATTTACGAGTTTCACGCCCTAAGTAGCTGCCTAAAAAATTATTTGGTTGAAGTTCATAAGCGGTAATCCCATGTTGTTCCTTTATAAGACTTCCCACTTTAAGGAAGATGCATATAAACTAATAAAAAATCTGCCTCATCTCATATTTGTAAAATTTGTCATGTAAAACTGATGCACTGATGAGAGCCAACAATTGTTAACAACTTGCGTTGAGGTGTTCGGCACTTAGCATTGTCGTGTGTATTTTGACCAACCAGCCGTTTTAATTAAAGGGCGCCATTTCAGTTACTTAAGAATAAATGCGCAAGTATTGTGCCTACTAAAAGCATACTAGTATAAGACGTGCTAATTTTACACATCAGTATACTTAGATTGGCATCCAGTGCGATAATACTGAACATCAGTTTCCAATAATTAGTTGCCTTTTACAACTTCCGAAGAAATAGTTATAGGCTTCGACTTGGCCGTGTCGGTGATGCGATTGGCTCCTCATTGAGTCCATCTGTGTACTGTAAACCGGCCGGCCGAGCCACTAAAAATGACCAGTGACCCCAGTTCTTTCTTGCAAGCAGGAAGAAAGTTGTCGTAGGCTACTTTTTAGTATTTACTCGTTTGAAGTGCATCTGGTTCAACATTGTATCACATCCTCGGTGTACCAAAAGGGGCCGATGAGGACGACATAAAGAGAGCCTACCGGAAGGTAAACATCAATGCTGGTAACCTCCGTTGACTATCTTTGCGGAAAGATCCCTGTTGAATTCCGCACTGATGTGGTGTCTACCTAGGTTCAAATGTGGTATTTGCCTAGTTTACTGGAATTAGATCCAGTATTTTATGAGGGATTTAGGCTGGTATACCTACCCTAGTAGTGATCCTGGTCTATACATTTACATTATACTACCTTTACATGGACTCCAGTCTGATGTCGTATGTGTAGTTTTTATTTTAGTATTTTTGAACTTATGCATGGTTAAACTACTGGTGATATTGCGGAAAGTCGAACTGCATTTCCTGAACTTTAGTTGATATTTTGAATCAAAGTATCTATTGCCCATAGAGCTCGAGAAAACACCCTGAATGTAGTGAGCGGCATCAACAGATCTTAAGTCGAGTTATTGTGGCTATCATGACTATACTTTCTTATTTATCACATTCAAGTCTTTCATGCATTTTTTTTAATTATTCAACACTGCTCACTTTTGCATTACCAGACTTTACTTGTTAGTGAGTACATTGAAATCCATAGCTTTATTTCACAAATCTAGTTAAATTATCTACTTTGTTCACTTTCTTCCAAGTGCCGCATCCATTATTCCGGCTTCTGTTATGTATTAAGGCTGCCCTGCGCTTTCACCCTGATAAAAATCCGGATAATCCTGCCGCTGCTGATATCGTGAGTTTCTTGTCTTATGCTCACATTTGCGATGGATATAATTTGTACTTATAGCACAAAGCCTTCCGTTCTTCATATGGTGCGTACTTACTCCAACGCAGGTTAGATTTCCTCGGCATTATTTTAATATGTAACTCAGTGCCTCAAATGCTTCGCCACTATGAGCCCTCATTGTCTTGAATGACAAATAACAAGAAAGTGAAGTGCCAATTTTTTCGCCACGTTTCCGATTTTCGAAAGAAAGAGAAGGTAATACGTTTTCTTCTCTTTGTTATTAATCGGAGAGTTGCCAATAGGCCACGTGATTGCAGACATGAGCTTGTTACAAACGAGAGAGCATTTATCTTTGTTGTGCCACTTTGCTCCTTTCTAAAAGAGGTTATATCGTCAAAACAATTAACTCCAACAATGCTGCTTCCATGGGTAAGGTCATTTTGGAGGAGGGAAAATTTATTGAGTAAAATTTAGAACCTCTTCCACACTATTGTGAATTTCCCTTTATTGCATAATCTATTCTGTTTAAAACACTCATTTAGAGGAGGCGTTGTGAGTTGGGTGCTTTGTACTCCTCTATTGAATGGAGTTGGGTCATTAGAGATCTTTTGCGTTTGCTTTACTCAGTTCAAGGATGTGAGCAGAGCCTATCGAGCACTGGTGGATCCAGTGAAGCGCAGCATCTATGACAAATATGGCAGTCTTGGTCTCTCCATAGCAGAACAGGTTGGTGAAGACAATGTCAACACCTACTTTATGCTTTCAAGCAAGTGGTGCAAGGTAATCTCGGTAACAGTTTAACCTCCTTGAGAGTGTGTCGTTTTGTCTGAGTGTCCATGTTACAGGCCCTGTTCTTCTTCTGCTGTGCTATCACCGGCTGCTACTTCTGCTGTTGCTGTTGCTTTTGTTGCAACTTCTGCTTCGGGAAGTTTAAGCCGGGCCCCCATGAGCCAACGCCTGAGGAAATCAATTTACGTGTGCGTAGATTTACCTGTTGTCTTGCTCGTTACATCCGTTATGGATAGGTCGTGCCTTTCTAATAATGATAATACCCCCTATTCCAAAGACCGTCACGATCATTTGTTGTATCCTGTTCGATTAGGATGAAGAATTGGACGATCTGGCACACCCAATGCATCAAGCTGCGCCTCCCTACAATCTGGATGATTTACGACAGACACAGTTTAATTCCTCATCGTACCCGTCGGTGGGGCGGCCGATGCCACCCCCCACAGGTAATGTTATCACTCGACAGCCACCCTCGACCATGTCCGGCTACTAGGCCACACTGTTTCCTAGTTCTGCTGCATTTCAATTATTTATTGTGCGACATCGTATTCTAATCGTTCCACGTTGTTACGACTGTGATTTTGATGTTGTTTAATTTTATTGTTTTCATGCACTTCACACCTACAAGGATTAATGGTGCAATACCTTTCAAATACACTCGCCTACCTGTGGGTGCAATGCCTTCTGTTTTGCGAGCGGAGCGGGCGGTCGTTTGCGCTGTCGAACAGGAATGCAGTTGGCATTAGACTTGTCAATTCCAGCCGTCTGGTAAATGAATGGCCCTTGCGTAGCCAGTGAGTGTTTTCTGCACAGGAATCTCGAGCCCTTGGCAGCGCGTGAGCAGTGTGTGGGACTTCGGTGGATGAGCTTCCTTGGTCTCGCGGAGACGTATGACAAGCAGATCTCTGGTATGTAGTAGGCGTTGCTACATGGATAGTAGTTTAATTGTTAAAGAATCTGAGCAGTAGAGATGTGGCAGGAGATAAGGTTGGTCTTAGTACTCACGCTCGAATCTGGGGGAGAGAACGCAATGTAGCGCCTAGCTTGGTGACCAGGATAGCGTACCTGTTTTGATGGGCAGTTACTGCGGCGAAGAGGTTGGGGGTCTACCAGAACCCGGTGCGTTTTCAAAACCATTATAGCAACTTAAAGAATTCGCCCAAACTAGATCGGACGGAATCTTTTCAAAGTGCGTGCATGCTTTTAATTCTCGTGTTTATTGAAGCGCCCATGTCTTGTTTGGTGAATTGCAAATCGTCTGCATAAATTTAATAGGCAAATTATGAAAAAGAGTCATTTTAAGTTTTTTTTGTGGATTTCTGTTTATTTAGTTTATTAAACTTTGTCCTACAATTGAGCGTAACGTTCAAATGCTTTAATAGGCGACCTTAACTGTCACTGCGCTATGCTTATGCGAAACTGATATGCCCAATCAAAATTAGGGCGTATTTCAAAATGAGCGAAGAGCAGTTCAAATGGTGCATCGAGACAGGTGATATTAATGGTTTCAAAGATGCGTTAAAGAATGTAAAATGCCTTCTCTCTAACTTTCTACAGGTAAAAGACCTTAATAAGGGGCTTGGGAATGGAAGAAGGCCTATTCACATTGCGGCAGATTTCGGACATTTACAGATACTAGAGTTGTTGGTTAAGGAGGGTGCTGATGTAAATGTAGGCCGAGATTTAACATTAATCAAGGCAATGTAGGTAAAAGACAATTTTGGGATTACTCCACTACTTGCGGCGGTTTATGAGGAGCATGCGGATTGTGTCGAATTCCTATTGAAGAACGTATGGTGGCTGTTACTTCTGCACTAATTTTGCTGAATTTTGTAGAAGGCAGAAATTATTGATTCCCCCAGCGGTTTAAAGATGTGCGAGTGCACCGACTCCGAAGACATAAAAAGGCTGCTTCAGCAATAAACCGTGCCTTTGCTTAGTGTGACAGCCATTGTTTTTTATTGCTCTTTGACCGTTTTATTGATTTGGGTCTTAAATAAAGCTTTATTTTCTGATAGTTGCATTCTTCCTCTCTCCATATGAATCAAATTTGCAGTAATCGTTCTTGGTCGTATTTCAAGGAAAACTACCCACCGAGTAACTGCATCACGGATGAAATCGAATTTTATATTACTGTTTGTCCATGCAAGCAAAGTGATGCCAGTCATCGGTCCAAGCATAATTCGTTTGCTGCGGTCCGTATTGCCGAGTTACTATCCAATGCCGGTTTCATCAACGAAGATGTGAAGCTTAATGTAGTCTCCTGCTGTTCTGAAGAAGATTTGGGTGATAAAGCTCCTAGTCATGTGAAACACTATGTTCTTATACGCACCTCCAAAGCACTTCTTCAACACGCTGCCTGTATTTTGAACCAAGGCTTCTCTGGAGTGCCAGCGGATGAAAGAAGCGTTGGTAAGTCTCTGATTTTTTCATTTTCAAAATTGCAATAGAAAACATAAGTAATAATCTGTCCGCTTTAGTCTGAAATAAGCTAATGTTCTTTAAATTGGCCAAACATTTGTTCTTCCTCTTATCTACTCTTCTTTTGAAGGTTGTGTAATTTGTTTAACTTTTTCTGCAGCGACAGCTCTCGGCGTTGCCTCATTGACTCCTGGACAAAAGGTTTGGCTTGGTGGTCTTGCTGTGAGAATGATTCAATTCAGTCATGACCAAAAAGTCAGTCTGAATGCTCTAACATCGTGCGAGATCTATGATACAATTCCTCCAATGCCAAAGTGCACCATTAAGAAACCATTATCCTTAGCAGTAGTTACGTTGAGCGAGCGCGGTTCGGCTCTCTTCTGTATGAAATCGAGGGAAATAGTTAAGAATATGACTCCACTGCACAATGTACCTGAACGCGATACTGTTTGGTCGTATTTTCGTGGTCAGTCTGTTTTTTTCCCTGGAGTGAGCTGGCTACGTTGGTATCTTGGGGATGCCATTGGTTTCTACTTTGCCTGGCTACGCAGCTATTGCCTTTCGCTCATCTTCCCCTCCTGCGCCGGTCTTCTTACATGGTTGCTTGTTTCAATAACCAATAGCATTTATTCTGACCAACCCGCCCAGCTGTTCACAATGCCCATATTCAGAGTTTGTTATGGCCTGGTGGTGGTAATTTGGGCTCTAACATGTAACAAAATCTGGCGTCGGCAACAGTCACAATTAGCAGAGGACTGGATGTCGCCAATATTTGCAAATGCAGCTGATATGTCGGGCTGGGTGGGCTCGCACATGGAGCAGTTGAGACCTACGTTCCGCGGCAACCTGCGAGAGAGTCCCATCAAGGGTGAGATGGAACTACACTTCCCAGCTTCCCAGCGACGCGTTCTCTACCTTCTCTCGGCCTCTGTCACCTCCTTTTGTGTCCTTATTGCTCTCTTCATAAACGTGTTGCTGCTGAATTTGGAGGTGTGTTTGGTCTTTTATCATATACTTTTCAGAAAAACTCATTTAAGGCAGAAGCATATAGGAAAATTCGCATTTAACAATTTAAACGAGAGAGTGTGCTTTTCTTGACACGTTCTCCAATTCACACTACCAGACTTACTACTTAACCCCGCTGATGTATTTTCTACTTTACTACTTTTTATCGTTCAATCGATGGAGGTCATCCTCTTGAGCCCTCAGCATGCACATGTTTTCTGATAAGCACAGACACGAAGGCTTCGCGTGTATGCTGACTCCTGGCACCTGTTCCACCTCGCGCCTAATCACGAGGGCGTTCCTCTCAAATGTTAAAACGCGGAGCTGGCTGATTCACGGGAGTGACTCAGGCCTATTTGTCTTACATGAGCCAAATATTTAGCCTTGAGATCGAAATTCGGATATGATGCTCCCATACTGACACGCGAACACCGTAGGCTATTCTAATACCACTGAACATTGATTGAAGCATTTATTTGGTAAAAAAAGGTCATTTCACAGTAGATTATATTTGCTGAATAATGGTTGGATGGATGCCATGATTGGTACAGCAAAATGTAAGCCTGCATCTCATGAGCATGCATGAGGTACTTCTAGTAAAACTACCAATTTGAAACAAGAAATGCCTCTTAATTTACTTAAAGGAAGCCAGGATGGACACATGCCTTTAATGTAACATGTTTCATACACTGTTAAGTTAGGTGTTCGATGTAAGTACCAAGTCTTTTTGAAAAGAAACCGTGGCTGTAGAGGAATCTTATAAAAATATTTTATTGTTTAACGTTGCTAATTTTTTGGATTCAGAAGATTCCTCCTCGGAATCCCAGTTCTTATTGCTACTGTAGGGCGTGATCAACCCCGGACGCTCGCCGTACTTGCACTTCCACTTCATCGGCTGTCTGTGCGATCCAGGAAGGATATTTGATCCGAAAGATGGGTCACTTAAATTCATTCCAGGCATTCTTCATCCTTTGGTCGTTTTCTACATCAACCAGGTCGTCTTTCGTCAGATTGCTGAAAAACTCACCAACATGGAAAATCACAAGGTAACTCGATACCTCATTTAATTACTGCCATCTGGTCTTTAATTTCCGTTTCTTACAAATTCCTTGATGCGTGAATGTAGCTATGTCTACAATTATAAGCGACTTTCCACAACAAATGCCACACAGACGCCAGCTTAGTTTTGGGTCTCGATAACTTAGCTTATATAAACAACGAGGTAAAGCTAGCAGGTTGAAGATTAGAGCAATTAATGTGAAATTTCAATCCTGTATAAACTCCAAAATACGGATTCGAAGAAACAGATAAATCTACACATCCAAAGGTGGGTCAAATCAGCACAAATGGTGTTAGTACTGGAAAAATGGTCTAATTTATCGCGTACCTTCTTACACAAGGACCTAATGTTCGGTGGTACACTCCATTGTGAATAATGCAGGCATACCTTTCAGTCGTCAAGATACCTAAGGCTGAATACAGTGTAATAATATCGTATTATTTTCTGGATTAGATCCATCGACTGATTGTTGAGGTAAAATGGTAGTTTTTTTAACCTACAGGAAGCACCTCTCACAATGACTAAGACAAAACACTGGTTTTGCTGCCTGGAGGGAGCCGACACACCTCCCGATATTTTCCACATGATGCAAAATTAGAGAATTTAGCGTTCGTGATGGTATAAAACGCATTTGTTACATTAGCAGCTGGCCTGTACTTACCTACTAAACTCTTAACAACGCATGAGAATACACACATTTCTGTTATTTCCGTGGTTAGTATGGTTCAATTAGCTACAACATGATAGGCCAAATATTTCAGGCCCCACCTGACGTGCCATTGAAATCGCATGTGGCATATCAAGGCCTTAGATATACTGATGCACAGACTTGCATTACAGATGCAAACTTAACCCACCTAAAAATAGCAGATTCAGTCACAAATGGTTCAGGCGTTCCAAATATTCGCTTCTTCTCGACTGCACTTTCTGAGTTTACACAAATCGGTATAAGAATTTCTTATCGCCCAGCATAAACAACTGTTATAGCTACGTTTTGTTCCGTGTTATCGAGGGAGGTAATTGTTTGTTTGTTCTTTTACTTTTCAATTGCAGACCCAATTCAATTGGGATTGTTCTTTGATAGTCAAGCGATTTCTCTTTGAGGCTGTTGACGCCTATGCTTCGCCCTTCTACCTTGGGGTGATTCTAGTGGACTGGAACGCGCTACAGTCCTTTCTGATGACCACCTTTGCGACGGACTCCATTCGACGTCTTATTGTCGAATGTTTCTTGCCTTGGGTCAGTTCTCATTGGCGCGGCCGTCGAGCCGCAGCCATCGCTGTTGCCCACAAGAAGACAGACGATGCACCAAAAGAGGCTGAGGCTCAGGCAAAGGCAGTGCATGCTGCCGTTTTCGGAGTTGAATATGAGCCTTTCGATGACTTTCTTGAGATGGTCCTTGAGCACGGCTACATCGTTCTCTTCGCCATCGCCTGTCCGCCCTATCTCGCCTGCATGGCCTTTGTGTGCGCTTGGGTTGAGTTCTTCTTCGATGCCTTCAAGCTGCTCCAGCTAGTGCGACGCCCGATGGCACAATGGCTGCACCGGCGACAGAACATCTGGCTTGTGCTGCTTTCCGTGCAAGCCTGGCTGGCCATCTTTTCTAACCTCTGCCTCCTCTCCTGTTACACCCAGTGGAATCTCCTCACACTGCTCATTTTGGAGCATGTGCTCATCGGCGTTGGTCTTGTCATCGAATTGGCCTTCTCCAACACGCCCATAGCTGCTAAATACGCCTTTCGAAAGAGATTGTACGAACGCTATAAGCGCACCATTTCAATTAAGCAGTGATCATCATTCCGCCTCTAGTTGTGTGCCATTTTGCTGTTGCCGACTCCCTTACTTTTCCAACAGCTTTTAAAACCGTTGAATCTATATGCTGGAGATGTCTGTAACCCCATAAAACTTTCTTGTTTCGATTCGTTAAAAGCTTTTTTTGTGTATCTGATCCTTGGATAAGCCAAGACCTCCCGAAACTCGCGTCCTCGTCCAGTTCTCCTGCTTGCCAAATATCGCTTTCAAATCGGCTTTAAATGTACCAGTAATCACTATAAGGCTAAAGGTAATCAAAATACAATGAGCACGCCAGAATATAACCACTGCTTTCTGTAATCAGACAGCAGTTGCGTGCGCAGGCACCGTACCTCTTATTCATACCCACCGGTAAATGGGTTTTTTTTTCACCAAAGGCCTTGTTTCCTGATTACTCTAACCAGGAACTCGATAGCATCCCGTCTCAGGCATATAATCATCAATTCACGACACTAGTGTTTTAGTCTTTCACTGAGTACTTTCGGAACCAAAAAGTATAAAATGATACCAGATTTTCTCGTTCAGTTCATCCTTGACCAAGACTCCAGTCCTTTCTCATAATCTAAATATTGCTTTGGCTAAAAGAAAAATATAATAAAGAAGTTTGGCTTTCTAAACTCTTGTCGAAAGTTTAAGTGACGAAACGACTTTTCTGCTTTGAAGAGGATGTTCATCAGATGCAGTAACACTCAATGCATTTGCTTTTCGGGATTCGTAAATTCACTAACTTCCCATTGAAGCCTAACTAATTTGCAGGCGCGATCTTTTCATTGACCTTTCGTTCTTTCAACCATTGATTCTATTTTCGCCTGTTTTTGTTTTCTTTTTTTGCCTTGTTCACCTTCTGCTTCCTAATTTTGTTTGTTAGGTTGCACCTCCGTGTACCTAGTTTACCTAATTTACCCTCCTGCCAGTAACAAAGGTCAGTCATTAAGTTTACATTTTCATTGGCTACTTGGGTTTACCCGACTGTGAGCGGCGCAGAGGACAGCAGCCAGTGAATTGGTGTCCAGCGGGGGTGACATGGGCATACCCTAATGTAAATGCGATAGTATGGCAAATAGCCACCAGGCGATACTGCATTTCCACGTCAACCGCTTACTTTTTCTAGGATAATGCGTTGGGCCAACTTTTAAGTGGAATCAAAGTGCTTTGGGAGCATGGTTTAATTCATGATTAGGGGTCAAATTATAGAACCATGCATTTGTTAGTATTTTTAGTGACCCGTATGAAACATTTGTGATTCCTTTAGATCCATGACGGATTCTAGAACCTAACCTCGAGAATTTCCAAGGTATTGCTGTGTGTATAGAATTCGTACTTCCAGCTGAAAACTTATGGAAGGTGTGCAGCTTACCGTAGCTTAAATTAAGTTTCCCGAATCCGAGGTCGAGCTGAAGCTGCCAAAGGTTGATAACGGTTTCTACATTTGGCTACTTTGAGGATCTCAAGATTTTTCGTTGATCAAAAGTATGTTTACTTACTGTGCATAAAAGTAAATCAGTGCTTCCACAGGCAAAACTGCAAAGTGCTTCGTTGAAGCGTTTGCGGTGCCAAACCAGACAACTTACCTTCCCATAGCACCGGAATTCATTAAAGTGCTTCTAGAGGTGGGATTTTCCTAACTAAGGGATAAGCTGTACTGAGGCACAGCAAATACATGTAAAAGCAGATTGGTTTTGGCAAAGTTCGGTGATACACAATTCCAAAAGCATTGGAGAGGAGCTTCTATTAAATTAGCTTGAGAATTCGCCTGGTTGATAAGATGTACTTCCAGTTATTATTCCCACTTTCCAGTCGAGATCGTGTCTAAGTCCCTCCCTTATATGATGTAAGTGGCATTGTTCATTTCAAAATGGAATGACACTGACCATTGTAAAAATACAGAAAAAAGACTAGTTCAGAGTTCTCATTTAACCAGTTCAGCCGTGGGTAAAGAATTCAGTTAACGCCTTCAGTTCGCTATTTTTACTGCTTTATTAGCCTCACGCCTTTCCCGAGGACAAACTGTCCACAACATTTGAATAAGATACCAGAATTGAAGTCATGCATTGATGCATATTTACTTTCTTTAAAGCCTTAATCTTTCTATTTTAATGCAAGGTAGTTAAACTTTTCCTTATAATTCCAATGTACGCTTTAGCTTTCTTTTGTAGACCCTAGTCAGATTACACTGTTAGTTTGCCATTTATATGGGGGTAAAATTGCCACAAACAATTAATTTTGATTGATTGGCTGAAATACACCACCTCTTTCCTCAATATTTAATGGTGTTTACATAGATATTGTGTTTTGGTTTGGAAATGCGATGAGTTTTGTAGTTAATAATCCCACTCTTGAAACTTTTCAATGCAAAACTTCCATTGGTTAATACGCGAAGTGCTTAAATGTATTAACTGACTTAATCTTCATTTCACTGGGGGTGTTGCTAAGCCATTTTAAAATAACACTTGTGTAGATACTCGATCTTTGCATTGACTTCTGCTGCGCTCCAGACAAGTTGTACAGAAACAGTGTTAGTGCTTGTTTTAAGAGTCCAGCGAACTGTAATGGGTGGGAGTGTAAAAACATTGAAAGACACTACCATATTTGGTACCGTGTTAAAGCACGGGCTGGTATTTTTAAAATAATAAGTATTTTGAAATAGTGCAAAAAGGGCAAATGAGAAACCAGATCTAAAGTTTTAAGTAATTATGTGTTTTCCTATAGACCAAGGAATGCGTGAAAAACTGCTAATAAGTGGCTAGAATCCTACTAGGTGCTAGTTACTCAGGATTGCAAGTCTTTGTATATTAAACCCGGTTTTTTGTCCCATGGCTTACTGAAAATCACTTTAGGCGAAAATATAAAAAGTTTGAAAGCTGCCTTAGCAACCAGCAGAGCGTTTAAAGTGTACACATAACAATTTCGCATCCAATGCAATTTTTATTTTAGTCCCGACTGTCTCAATTCCCTACATCCTTACATCAACTTTACAACGGCGAAAATGTCCTTAAAATTAAGCGCGGCACTAACATTTCACTCCAACGACGTCCCACATACATTCGTACTTGCCCTAATTGTAACACCTCTTCTTGCCTTACCTAAATGTACATAAGTAGAATGCTTTATTTAAAAATGTCATAATATACAGACACTAATGGGATGAAGAGGAATTACTTCTCTGACAGGGAACCCACCTTATTTATCTTGTGGTTGTAGTTTTAAGGACTATTATCATCAGCCAAAGCATAGCTAATTCACATTTGGGAATAACTAAATATTCTTTTGGAAAATTCTCTAGCCTATGAACGTCAGGTAAACCAGTAATTGATCTTTCAAGTAATAAAGTTTATTTCACCAAGTGGTAATCAATGTTTCCAAAACGCCACTGGAGCATGAGAACTCTGAAGTTTGTTATCGCCTTTCGAGAAAAAAATTCCCTAAATCTAGACGAGGAATAACTTAGAAATAACTACGAGCCAGCCATAGATCTTGGCAAAATGATGGCATGGAAATTATAAAAAATAGCTGAGGTTATTTTATAGGCCCAAATAACACTAGTTTGGATAAAAGCAATTTACTATTTTTCAAAGACTGAAGTTCGTCAAAGCACCGTACATTCTGAAGTAGCATTTAAAAAAGCCGCCTACGTAAGTATACGATTGCTACAGATAGAAGTGGGTGAAAGGGAACAGGTGTAATTCGTCTTTGATTGGATTAGTGGGTAAGTTTGTGGTAATAGTTGGGGGAAGAGTGGCTTTTAGTTGTAAGGTTTATTATTTAAAGAAAATAAATCAACTAACAAGGTTTAAATGGAAAGGTGATAATCCCCTTTCTTTCTATCATACCCGCTACGGATTACTGGGGTTATTTCTTATAGTAGTAAATTTTCTGTTGAGCAATAGTAGGGAAGGGCCTGCGACGCGCTACAAGTATTGCGTCTTCGGCCGCTATATCTGAGTTTGAGTTAAAATACTACTCCAGGGCTTTGCTTTTTCAACCGGTTGGTTGTGAGAAGGCACGCATGCGCTCCCGACTTGGGGTGCTCACGTGGCTCCTGGGAAATCGGCATTGCTGCCAATGTGAGGACTGGGTAGAAGGCATCCATAATGGCTCGCGCGTTACAATAGCAAAGAGCGCTGGCACCACCCCCACCGCCAGCTACAGCAACGTCAACAACTATAAAATGCACATGCAGCAACTGCATACTCACCGACACTAATCGCACTCTCCGAGGTGACCCGAACTGCCTCTCGCAAGCAAGTTTTTTTTTAAATTCAAATGAGCATTGGTTTGTCTTTAAAATTTGCATACAAATTTTTAAACGACTGTTAAATCATGCCAGCCTTTCAACACACTTAAATACTTTTAACTGGTGACATATCCAAAACGCAATTTGAGGCTTTTTATAGACCACTGAACTGATGCACTTGAAATTTAAATTCCTATTTAATAAAGCCACCTCGCTTTGTAAAATAATATTTATTAAATATTGCTAGACAAAGGCAGCAGGGACTTGACTTTATTTATTTTAACATGACGATCTTCGTCAACGAGTAGATGAATAGTGGTTATGCAGATCTTCATGGGATATCCTTCAAAATAAAGCGGCGACTGTGCGACAAATACGTAATTTATGACTTTTAAGCCATCATGATTTATAGATAGCTAGTTTTACTGTTTAGGCAAATCGTGGTGATAGTGGTCTTTTTTAAAACCGTAATTTTTCGGGATTAAGTGTAAGTTGCAGTGACAATGGGCCAAGGGCCTGGCGTCCCCACTTTTCCTGAGGTTTTGGCCATAAAACGATATAATTTATAAAATTCATAATTTTTTAAAGTAGGGACTGCAACTGGAGGGCTCAGCTGAGCCGGTTTGCGGAAAAACGTATCACTATGCCCTCAGGAAAACTCTTATTATTCTGGTTATTTTGAGCTACTATTGTCTAGAAAAGGCACAAATTATCAGGTGAATCAAAAAGTTAAATGAAAAAAAAACTGGGATGTAACTGAGTTTCACCAGAAGTCATTTGGTCATAGATGTGAGGATCGACCGAGAAGGAAGGGGAACACGAAAGGAATGCAGTAAATTTGACATTGTATGATAGTCATATGAGTAAGTTTTCCACATTTATGATATATTGCATAAAATATCGTGCATATTTTTTGGGATGCAAGTTGGTAAAAATTTTGGAAATCGGATGTCGAGAAAGAAGTAAAAAATGGGGTATGACTTGTGCAACTTTGATGAGAGCAAACGGTAATTTTAAGTCAACTTATTTTAGAACTTCGAATGAAAAATCTGGATAATTTGCTGTTTGCAAACTGTGCACATTCAGAAGCCATTTTCTGCGTTCCGAACACTGACCAACGCATCAGTTTTGCAGCAATGTTGCCACCTGAAATTTGTGAGTAAAAGTCTGTTTTATTTTTAGGTAGCACTCCAGTTCTAAGTCAGAACTATTGTTTGCTTGATTGTGTAGTATTGCGTAATTTTGTGTCACGGCCGGGTAAACAACTGCAGTAGGAGCCCCTTAAGAATGAATGACGGGAGCATTGACGAATTATCGACGGTATGAATAAGATGAGTAATTGGTTCAACTTTCGTATCCGAGAAGACGGAACGAAAACAGTTCTAAAGTTAGGGCAAAGTAATAATCTCTCGTTTTAAAAGCATGGTCTCTGACCTTTTATATCAATGCATGAATTTGCGAAAGGATGGGCAGGATCTGTTAATAATCGCATCCTTTAAAAATGATGCCTTTGATGGTGATTTGTAGATTTTCATCACGTAAATGGAACATCAGGAAATTGGCATGGGAAACCTAAAAACCAAAGTAAATTTAAAATTACTGGTGTATGATAAAATCGCCTCCACCCATAGTATTTCAATAGGAGTATAAGTAGATCGTAGCTTCCGCTGAGAAAGTTCAGGCGGTTTGCATTCTCAAAAAATTTCTCTATTCCTACAAATGTCCTTAACAAAATGCAATTAGGAAACCGTCTGAGACCAGCTGACGGCTAAAGTAATTCTACTGAAATCCCATGCTACTAATTGGTTGTATAGTTTAGATATTGCGTCATTTGTTTCAGTTGAAAGAATCCCCTGCAAAACTTTGTTCTCTATTGACAACAGCAACAATGTTGTCAAGGCTAAGGCAACGGACTTATGCACAAAAATAGAGAATCAGAATAATGTTGCACATGTTCATTTAAATTATCCTTGCTATGGTCCTGAACACCTACCCTTCGTCACAGACGGCTTTTCCGCGTTTTACCCCGAGTTTCTGATGGAAGACCGCTCTCAACACCAACCACCCGGTATCTTCAACTTCATCAGGAGTTCGAATTACAACACAAAGGTAAATTCAGCAGAATACTTGCCTCTTTAAGTGTATGTTTTTTGAACGTCCTTAAAATTTTACAACTTACCACAAACAAATTAGCCGAGAATGGCATAATAAATTGCTTTTGAATGGGCATGGTAACGCTAGTTGTGACTCAAGCCAACTTATCCTTTGGAGCTTTAGCTCCATGTGCCAGTTGATGTTGCGAGAAACACGATGAATCACCACCATGCTAGTCAAGAAAACAGCTAAAGTAAACTGAGAGGATGTTTACTGAAACGCCTCACCTTTTGGTGACATAACACCACACTAGTTATGAAAGCGAAATATCAAACACTATGAGGAATTTTAATGTGGTACGAAGTTAAAAATTTATACATACGACTTTTGACGTAAGACGGTGCAAGCAAATGCAGTTGAGACCACTGTCAACGAATTTGCCGCATAGAGGAGTCTCGCAAGTAGTTAGGAGGAATGGAGGGTGGGCAGAGAGGCACACTTATGCGGTGGAGGTGGATTCCGCTGGGTGTAGGTGCCCTCACAAGTCACGAGTCATGCGCTCACTGCGCTCCTGCGCCGTTTGTGCGCGCTTGGCACACAAACTCATACCGCGCTCCCATTGGTCAGAGCAGGTGTTGCACAATGCGATGCAAATTTCAGTAAAACTGGGCAATTTGTTCCGCACGCCACACTTATTCACTGTACAAGGGGATGTTCAAGTTGAATCTATACAAGGTAACACACACATGTACAATTTTCTTCTTCCGCCCTTTTACGAAGTTCTCAATGCTTGGTTTCTTCACGCTATTTGCACTTGTGCTACTGACACAAAAGATTAACATTTGTGTTTGGTTTCATGCAAACAATAATGGCTGTTTTTAAAGAACACTTAGGTCCTTAATGTGCTTGTCATATATGGCTTGATTTTTTCCGCAAATTTAGGCGGATTGTGCACTTTATTTAGACATACAACCGTTTTTGTGTTAAACACCAAAGTACATTTGCGATTTTTAACACCATGAAGAAGCACAATTCAGCGGTTAAAGTGAACAGCCGAGGACTTATAGTGTAGGGTTACAGTGCCCAAGAATTACGCGTCCATCAACTAGCCTAAACCAGTATGATCGTGTTTCCTTATAAATTGTAAGTCTACGTGATACGGTGAGCCTGTCTAACATAAAGAACTGGAAAAAAACAGCTACAACAATTTATATACCCTTATCGGTAAGTTGTTTATTTGTTACCACGACCACGCCTAGTGTCAACACAACTTCATAATTTGGACGTGTGTTTGGAACCATTTTAACTGTTCAATGCTTTATTTCATCATACCTCATTTGCGAAAGTATGAAGTGACTGAAACATGAGACTGCATTAAATGGAGTCACCTTTAATCGGCACACTTTGGTGATGGAAAATGCAGCTTTTAAGACCCAAAATGGTCAAATTAAATGCACCCAGCAAGGACCACAGTTGTAGGCAACAATCGCCACAGTTTAATCCAATGCAATGTGCCCTTTTTCACCTAGACGTAGTGGATAACACCAATGAGCACCTGCCTTCAAGCTTTTACTTCTTGTCTCAGATGACGTCAATGTGCTAACAGCATTGCGAGACAACTTTCTGCCGACAAACTGAGAGTTAGTGTTGAAATTCGAAGATACATTTGTGGGAACTTGACACAAATCCAAATAAAACTATCCGTGGACTTTATGCTAGTAAGATTTAAATGCTAACTCAGAATGCGAGTCTATTAAGCTCTACATTCGTCACAATAGCATCAAATATAAAACTGAACTGGATAGAAGTGCAAACATTACCTGTACTTCCAAATTTATATTCTCATTCATCTTATTTGAAATACATTGGTTACTTTATTCTACCGAATCTTAAGACAATAAAACGATAAAGGAAATATGGACAGATTCCCCACTTCTTATTCCACCTAGCCTTTGCCGCGACCGGAGTTAGCCGCATCTGAGACGGAGTCGGAAACGTCGAGTTCTTTCTCGAGTTATTCCATACCCTCGGCAGTTTCACCACGGCCGACTAATCCTTCCTGTGAGCATGACTTGAAGGTATTAACTGGGCCTTTGAGAAGTCGGGAAGGCCAGACAAAGTTGGCAATTACCAATTATGTACCAAAGAGTCATCAGAACTACGAAGAACGTGAAATTCGAAGAAAGGAGCGCAATAACGCGGCTTCTAGAAAGTCACGCGCGCTTCGCAAGCGCCGTTTTCAACAGATGCTGCTTGAGACCGAACTTCTAACTAACTCCAACGCAAAGCTTCGAGCCCTTGTTGAAGAGTTAAACTCGATCATGGCCGAGTCGAAAGCCATTCTCTTCGAGAAATTTGCAAGTCCAGCCACAGCCGATACGACCATGGCGGTGCAACAACCAATGGCCAATCTCAGGGAATAGCATTTACAATCCTCATCATAATTCTCAAACCATTTTCTTGCTATTGCCTTGAATTTTCAGCCAGGTTTACCATTCAGATGAATATCTCTAAGTAAATAATAAAGTTGATCATAATGAAAAATTTTCTTGATTAGGAATTGCATAAAAGTCAACCAAATAATTTCAAGAATTGATTACTTGTTAGGACGTGAAAGATCAGTATCTATGCAATTTTAATTCGTCAAATAAGCAGTAAAATGAAGCATTTTACTGAAAGTGGAATAAAATTAGGAAAAGTAGGTAAATTATCACTTCACTATGTTTTATATGGGTAAAATGGGGTTTGGAATACGTTAGACCCTCAAAGCATTATATCTATTCTTAAAGTTTAGGAATCGATAAAATGAAGGTTTAATTTGTGCTGTCCCAAAAATATGTCAAATTATTTGAGATTGTGACAAGAAATTCTAAACCTCGAATGATTATGGATAAGAACTTGTCACATTTCATGGAATACAGACTGATTCGGTGATCCTATTTAGATAAAATCTCCCCCGTATCAACGCCTTCCTGCTTTGGTGAAGGGGTATTATGCTAGTAATGCTTACTTTGAATATCGAATAGGAAAATGAGTGATATTCAAAATAGCAGTGAGATATGGGCTGCGAAGGTAAAATGTCTTGCCTCGTGACAAAGCCATCAATTTCCCCACCATTGCGCAGCACCAAGCAATTACTGATCGCCTACGCACGTATCCTTCGGATGACAAAGGCATTAGCATTGACAAGACTTTTATTCGAAGGCACGGATACCGGCAAATAATCGCCATGATTAAATGGTGTTAATTATTGGCTGTTCCCAACACAGCACACCGGTCAAACCATTGAAAGTTGAAGATGGGCTTCAGCAAATATGTCTCCTTTTTTTAAAAATTCAATTGAAGTTTGTGCTTAATCAGCTCATTGCTTAGAGTGTATCAGTAGCCTGGAATGCTTAAGAACATGAAGGAACCGATGGCGTATGGGCAGTGTCAATGCGGAACCGTAGATTTTGGTTCTATTGCCTCCACATTATTTGCAATTTTTGGTGCAATTTAGCACCTAAAATTCATACTTCTTTCGCACCGACAGGGGCTGATAAATTATTTATTTTAATAGTCAGGATTTCTGGAAACGTCACATTTATTATAGGCTAATCATCCGAAGAGATGGTGATTATGCCTTCACAATCTTCATACGTAACGGAACGGGGAGCGTGAAAAGCAGTCCTTGCGTTCGGGCAAGCTGCTGGCTGGGTCAGAGGACGATGACTTCAGTCAAGTTGGTCTGAAATCAACGCTTTCTACTGCTAAAACAATACCAGATTAACAACTAACCAATTAACCAAAGCACAACTAATTTGCGGTAACTTTCTACACTTCTGAGTACACAGAGCTTATTCTCTCCCTTCTAATTGGCAATCTTACTAATTTCACTGTCAGTAGAAACGACAATCGTACCTCCCATTGGTGACTAGGTATGCCTGGAGTTGCTAACACTGACAAGTATGTTATTAAAATGACGAATTTTGCTTCTATGTGCTGCCCAACATAAAAGGCAATAATGTACTTTTCAGATATGATTCTTTTAGGTCTATGTTTCCCAACTTAAGGACAAAGTTTACATTTTACCACCGGATCATGATGTAATTTGGATTTAAGTTCTTCAGGCAAGGTAAGTTGTAAATAATTCAGAATTAACAGGACGGTAGACACAGAACTGCCAAGAGCGATGACAGCGTGATATTCCGTCGATACACATTCGGAAAGGGAAACTCGTTGACAAAGGAGGAAAGACAATTCTTCCATCTTTATTAACCTGTATATTTGGGATATTGGTTGGTGGTGAAGTTAACCACTGATAGGCATAGCCAGCGAGGCATCTTTACTGTTTCTGTTATGAAAACTACCCAGTGATATATCTTTTGACAACACTCGTCTATCGAACGGTGCACATGATCAGTCAAAAAAAGGCAAAAAAATAAAAAGGCTTTTTTGTATCTAAAGGCGTCACGCACTCAATGCACTTATACTCTTGCTACAGAGTGGTCCGGTTTGTTCACCTTTGTAAAGAGTCTCCTAGTATTCGCAAGAATACCAAACATTTTGTTGTATTGAACATATTCCCGATTTGAAGACCGCTTGTCACTGCTCCTGGAGGCATCGCAACTAAAAGAGATTCAACTTAAATGGTTTGGCTAAAAGGATCTAGGAAATAGACTAGGTTGCGAAAGGCAATGATTACAAGTTCTTAAAACACGCTCATTTTGAAGGCTGACCCAAACAATTTTGATACTACTCCCTTGTGCTATGAAATACTATTACAATTTCCTCCTTTCAGCAATCGTGGCAGTGCACTTCAGACGATGAGTGTATTAGCACGACCCAATAATATGGCACAAATTCAATGTTAATTTTTACCATTGAAAAGTCGTAATCTCCTTCCCTGAAGACAAAAAATCAGAACGGGCGTTGAAAACAAGCATGTCAAAGCAATAGTGATTCCAACTAACACTATTCAGATCGTAACATTTGGTGCAATTAACTGCAAGCAACATCCCCTTACTGCGTGGGTTCTCTCATCGACTTACAACTTCTTGCGCTTAGGAGATGCCGAAAGCGTGTGTAAAATGAATTGATGAGACAGGAAGGCAGTCATGCAGCCTAACACCCAAGCCTGATTGGTTGGTGGCTGAGGGTGTTTGCTCTCAGGCGTGATGCAATGAGTCGTCTGCAGCCTGGCTCTGCGACAGCCGCGCGTGGGCGGAAGAGCGCACGCGATAAACACACTGGATGATCGACACTTTCATGTACATTCCTGCCTCATCGTAAATCACCCAAATGCCATTTGTAAGTCACACAAAAGCCGCCACAAATACGCCCTTTCGCACCAGTTAAACTTGGAAAAGTGAACGTGTATGCATGTCATCCATATCGGCATGCATTGATTGATAAGAAAGTTGACTTCTGATAGACTCATCGGCCTCTTCTATGCACTACGCACAAGTGATATGAGCTGAAAATGCGCCCCATGCAAGGGTACTAAGGATTTACCAGCTGCACAATACTGTCAACCCACGCACTGACCACGCTCTTCTGGCCTATGCCAAGTAAGCGCACAAAATATTGCCGTGATTCTGTTCTCGCCCTATCTCCATTTATTTCTCGAATTTCATTACGTCTTCACAAAGCACATCATCCCTCAGGCAATTCACACTTGCAACAGGGATCTCCTTTAGAACTTCCGCACAATTCTTCACAGCATTGCTCGCCTAGAAAATCACTACAATGCATTGGTCAAAATAAACACACACACACACAGTACATAAAGTAGTATGGCACTAAGTCAAAAGACCGTTACCTATCGGTGTGGCCGTTATTTTTTGTTTGGTAAAATTTAACTCACTGTCGAAAATATTTGATGTTTAAAGGGAGGGCAAGTGCTCACATAAGACCTTACGAAAGTTTTGGGTTATTTTTTAAAAGATGTCCGCGCTATGGCATGAATAGAACTATAGTAGAATCAACAGTGCATGAATTAAGACGACAAGCCTTAGTCAGATATTCACTGATGATCAGTAGTGATGGCCCTCAAAGTGGGATCTGCCCAAGTGTCGCATAGCTCTTGAGTAATTAAAGCCAAATCATTGGTCATTAATAGGAAAAGAAAAATGACTTAACTTACACTTTTATTTCAGTAAAGCCACAGTCACGGCAATGTGGAAAAGATAATCCATCGCAAATGACGGCTTTCCATTCTTGTAAGCGATCAGGCTAGCATGCGAAAGGGCATAGTTGAGTTCGGAGCAGTATAGAGATTGAGCCAGCAGTTTATATCGTCAACGCTTCGGTGTACACCAAGTCTGCGACAGGAGAAACCGCGACAAACTTTCGTGTCCGAAAATCCCTTGCCTTTATTCATCCATTTTGACATAAGTGTAAATGGTCTTTCAGCTAGGGAATAGCAAATTGTTACTAGTAAAGGAAAAGACTATCCCGGATTTAGATGGGATGAAATTTTCGACTGCTTAAGTCAACTAACTATTTAAGCGTAACTTTTCTTAAACTTAGTATGATACAGCATTAGCTGAAAATCAGAGTTCGTTTAATAAGGCTTTACTAGATCATTAACAAATTTTGCCAAAATAAAACCGCTATTAGTCTTACTAGTCCAAATACAAATTTCTTCAAGTCATATAAGGAGCTCTGAGTCGCGAATAGCGTGTTTAAAAGTAGGAAATGCTTAACTAAGTGCATTACTTCTTTCGTGGAAATGGTAGAAATAGGTTTAACAAGCAAATTCAATCACTTGGAGCGGAAAATATGTGATTGCACCATATGCAGTAAGCTCTGGTAGGGCAGTCTTTGGAGCACCCTATACCCATTCATGACAATCAACTGCCCTGTAAACCTAGCTCACAAGTTCTTTCAATTCATATGAAAAGGAAAATTTCTAGCTCACCCATTTAATTATGCGTCCCTCAATTTAAAACGACCTTTATTTGAAAACATGGCATAAATGACACAAAACTACGCACATAAATTATTAATACAAAAAATAGTTGTCCATTGGTAGAGTGAGCGTGCATGAAAATTTAGTGATTGAGAGGGCTTTAGAGAACAGATGTGCCATGACATAGGTAAATAAAGACTGACAAAAATTGTTTTGTCATGATTACTTCTTTTCAATGGTAAATAGTTTGGTTTGAGGGAGTGATGAAACTACCGGCTTCTACTTCAGAGTAAAAACCCGTTTTAACTTTATTAGTACTTTTTATAAGAAATTGTCCTAATGCTTCAGTTTTGATCTCGAGATAAAGGTAAGACACTGATTTACTTTTTCTTCGGCACATTCTTAACCGTTTGCGTTGAGCTGAAGTATTTGCTCTCCGAGGGACTCGTCGATTTGACGAGAGGTATGATACGAATGATTTGCGCAATTCGGAGTTAATTCAGAAACTTGATAATGGCACGGTAACGCCGATTTTGGTAATTACTTCAACTAGAAATTATTAGTGTTTTTTACTGTGTAATATAAGGCTTTCCATCCATTACAAATTTGATAGCGAGGAATACGGTGAATGTAACACTACCCCTATCATTCATTATCTTTGATTTCCCATCAACTTTTAGCTTTAATCTTGGTGGAAGCGAAAGCCAATACTAAAATATTTCGCTCAATATTGAAATAAGAAATCAGCAGTCATTTTTTCAACTTCCACCAAAGGATAAAATTTGGGTAAGTGAATCCCTATACACTCGTATCGCACTTGATTTTGTTCAACTACTGGTCTACACTGCTATGGGCCACGCTTTGACTGCCACAGAATGGCATTCTCCATGTCCATGATCACCGAATATACTCTACTTTATCTCATAAAAGCAAACTTTATACTTTTACTGTCTTTCAATAAATGCTGGAATGTCAGGAAACCAATATATGTTTCCATAAATGGACTCATCCTCGTATTTTTTGGATGAAATAGGATGTTGGATCTCACTTACAAGTATGGTGACGGGGTGAAATCGGTTACCGTCACATCGTTCTGTGTGGCAGTATAGTTTACTAAAAACGTTATCGGATACGTCTTTCGTATTTTTATCAGCCCTGGGTTAGTGAGAAGGTTGCGCGCTTCTGCCAGACCAGGCAAACGGCTTCATCGACTGGAGTTGCACTGATCTATGTAATGGAAAACCTTGGATTGATAAGAACCGTAGGATTGGTTAGCGTCAAATTCGACCTGTATGTTTTAAACCGACTATACCATTAAATTTTTATTATAACTCGATATATTTTTGCAATTGATTTTAAATGAATATGGAAGATAAGGTTATTTTCTAATAGTAGTAGTTCATATTCTTTTTCGAAAGGCTTTTGTTAGCCGACACTTCTTTGGCAGTCCCTTATTGGTTCCATTGAAATGAATCTAATAGGTTGGAAATCGAATTACAATGAATGCACCCAAAATCTACTTTTAGGAATGACCAGGCGCATGAGTGGTGGGAAGAACTTTTAGAACAGTTTGTAAAAGATTATGCAATGATATTTCCACCTCGTTTGCTATCATTTCTACTGCCAATTTAGTAATCACGTAGTGTGTGATGAATCACATTACAACGATGGTGCAATCACTATGTCGCCAGAATGACGGAATTACTCTAACGTTGCTATGGTGCATGGAGTTGGTTGCAGTTTTATTGGCTTACGTAGTTTGAAGGCCACTGCCCGATGGCACGCGAAGGTGTTTATAAGAGACGTTGGCAAACACGATCCCTAACACCGCTCGCCGTGGGTCCAAACTGGAAAGCACCTAGTCTGCGAACCAGCTATTCCAGGGATTTTACCCAACAAGCCATCAACATTAGACTTCTAAGCAGTTCCACACCATCCAGAAATACACAAAGACTATGCCAGAAGCAGGAAAAGCTCTTATTTTGTCCACAGCAATCCGACGAAAGGGGGGAAGTTGTTCATACAAAACAAAGTACCTTCGGAAGGTCTTCCAAGATTCGAATGATGAGAGTGGATTCACCAGGTAATTTTTAGTAAAAACTCCTCACTTTTTTAGTTTTTGGTGAAATTGTTCTTTACATAACATTTACACGTGTCGTGTCACTGAAAGGTGTAAATGCGTGACACCAGAAATTAATGTCTAAAATAGGATTGCCTCAATATGAAGTGATAAAATCTAACTTGAAGTAGAATACCTCGGATCTTTGTATTATATGTCATGCTAGAAGAGACTAAAGGCGTAACCGATGATTGTATTAAAATGCCCAAATTTCGATGACTGAATACTTTATAAAATCACCGGTTTTTAATTACTGCAGCATACCACAAGGAACAAATCTACATAGTCGCCTTCATTTTTCATTGATATATGCAAATCTTTTCGTCTTTCTTTTAGAGCGGTCTACTATACCTGTAATCAGAGTTGTATCTTCTCTTGACAAAAAAGACAATCTCGGGACCTTCCAAACAGACCAATTCGATTACGACTTTGCGGATTCGCATCTCACTGACCTAACGTACTGTTATTGCCCGGAGATAGCGGCTGATATAGAACTAGCATCAATGAATGATACACCTCCTAATTCGGATTCCGCTTTCGGAAATTACTTATGCTCACTTGAGCCAATAGAAAAACTACCAGAACTCAATAGAGATATGCTTTCTGATGCTTTTATTGAATTAGAGAAGTGCACAACTCTTCAGTCTGCTACAGAGATTGAAGCGATGGAATGTGACAGGCCTGATGTGAAAGATGACAATCTTTCGCCTTTGGATAGCCCTCAGCTTCACAACATCTTTTCGTCACAATCCCTTGAAGATCTTGCCAATGGACCCGAATGGGAAGAGATTTTATCGCAGCAGGACACCCTGATCAAGCAGCTTGTGGAAATTGTCGATGTAAGCTTAGGTATTTATTAGAATACACCAAATCCCACCTTTAAGGTCCCTTAAACGCGTCGAAATGTTTTATCAAATCAAAAAGGTTATGAGATATGCGTGCATTTCATTAGCTAACAGTAAATACATAGACAATTCAGGTGATTGCTAAAAAAATAAACAGTTATTTATCAAAATTCAACTCTAATGTAATAATTGATTTTGTTTTACAAGGAGGTGATTCACTGTTAGAGGGTTAGTAATTGTGGGCACTTTTTTAGAACCAATCGGGAAGGCAAGCCTGTGAAGAGAAAAAGGCGAAAAACGCAAAAGCGTCATCAACGGATACCACATCTCCGACCAAGGATTGTGAGCTTCAGTCCTCCACGACCCAGTGCAACTTCGCCGAGGACAGAGAGAAGGATCGACGGCAACGCAATAACGTGGCCTCGCGGAAGTCGAGGGCCATGAAGAAGGAGCGCTTCGCTGCGATGCAGAGCGAGATTGACAAGCTTCGTGTTGCCAATCGCAAGCTAAAGGCGTTTGTGGACGAACTGGACTCGGTCATCGACGAGGCTAAGGCTATTGTCCTTCCACCAAATAGTCCATCAAAGTAGCAGATGCACAAATTGAATTAAACACACCCATCTGTACATACTCATCTCCACACTTTGTTTTATTTTTTTTTATACAATTGTTGATTACATCATTTTTCGCTTAGTTCTTGATGCGCCACTAGCTTATTTTTTTAATGGTACCTATTCTTCAAAACTAGCAAATGATGTTTTGTAGTCATCGAGTTACGAGGACGTAAATTAGTTCGATATGGTGTGGTTACACGACACGCCTTGATGCCTCCCAAAGGCTGCTGTCAAGTTACGTGCGTATTTGCAAAACTATGGCTAAAGTGAGGCTTAACCATGTCTGCGTTAGTAATGTCTTGATGTCTCCCACATCCAACACTTGTTTTCTGAGTTTTACAAGTCATGAACAATACATGTCTATGGTTGGCATACAAACTATGTGAGAGCGAGAATGTGACCCAAGATTGTAATTTAGAGATCCCTACTTTAAGATAAGGGGTATATGTTGGTGAATTTTCCCCAAAATATTTCAGTGAAACTCCGAAATGTGGCTCTCTTTTAAACGTCAGCCTCACTGCAATCTGTGCCCTTTATTTACATTATCCACCTCCCCATCGTTTCAAAAACGCCTCTCAGGTGTTGCTTCAATATTGTGTGCATACATATTTTGCAACCTTTTTGGTTTTAAAGCCCTTCGGGAGAATATTGCATTTTATGACATAGAAAAGTGAAATTCATCCAGTTTTAACAATTCAATAGATAAATGTCAAATAAATTTAAAGTTATTTGTACAGAATAGGTAGATTAATAAAGAGCGAATATCGGAGGCAAATTTGAAAAACCAGGAAATGAGACAAAAGGGAATACTCCCACGTATTTGCTACAAATGAGAATGCCAAATGTTCTAATACTACGTAGGCTAGTTTCAATTACATTGTAGGAACTTGGCTTGGAGGTTCAAAGTAATCCTTTAATCCGGCATAAATCAAGCCAGAATTTAAACCGCTAGACTGATTTTTTCGTCTGTATACAGTTTAAAAAAGTAGAGGCTGGAAAGTTTCTCAGTGTCACTTTTTCTCCTTAATCGGGTTGCAATCCCATATGCGACAACCTGAACTGTTGAAATGGATCGCCATCTTATCACATAAATAACTACGACTTCAACTGCTTCAGTAGTGCAGCTTACTAGTGCTTGATGATGTTTAAATGCTGATTTTGGTAAACATGAAAGAATGCATGGCGATCTGATTGAGGTACCCAACTTTTGGTCATGAGGGAATTTAGAAATATGGACTTGCCAAGACTTGATTCCCCACTTAGAAAAGTGATCGAACTGTTTATGATGAACGCGAAATTGTTTTAAAAATTTCCCAATTATTGTTAGGGTTTTGCAGATGAATACACTACTGACAAAATTCGAAAAGTATCAGAAGCATCGAAAGACATTTGGCACTTCCGCATGCTAACTTGGATGATAGGGTCTTCGTGTTCCCAAATACTTCGTAAGAAAATAGGTAATGACGTCTTCAACTCACTTTATCTTACCACAGTCCTTTTTTATACTGTAGTCACAGAGCATACGTGGAAGGGCTGACGATGTTTCGTCGCACAAGAAAGTGTCAACAAGAAGGTTCGTAAAAAGAAAAGTCGTGGGCAAGATCATTGCGGAAGATCAAATGATGGTGCATTGAAAGGTCCTCAAAGTAGGTTATGACCAAATAAAGTGACTGCCACTAGTAACTCAGGTCCTCAATTCGCATTTGTTCACAAGATATACACATTCTAACGTGGGATAGTTGTTTAAGCTCTCATCAACAATGGAGTATTTTACATAGGCCTAAAAGCTTCATCCTGCTTCAATAACATAATTACGCTTTGGGGTTACATAATGATGACCTGACTTTGATAGGTGAACAGCTCCTGAGCTGCAAGGACAACAAAGTGTCTTCTGTAATTCCGTAATAATGAAAACGTGAAATTATAATTTGATGATAATTTGGATTCCAGCACAATTTTGCATTAGTTTTTAACAATAATTTTACACCTGACATTATTTTATCTTAAAAAGTTCGTAAGTATAAAACCATCTCGGAAAGTAACAAAGCTCCATTGTATGTAGTAAGGTCCAAAATGTTGTGAAAATGGTTAACATATGTATTTTGGTACTCTGGAGACAGCAAGAACTTCGGAAGTGTTGTTCTTGTTTCAGCATTCAATTGCAAGATGAACGTTTGAAGAAAGTTAAGGCAGCCTTTATTAAAAGCCTATTTGTTAAACATTGATGAAACCAGGATAGCACGTCCTATCAATGAGCTCAGTGAATTTTTGACTCAAATCTCGAATTTAACTGCTCAACATTCATATCTTATGAAACGGTAATGAAGTCTGCACAATTCATAAACACCACCATACTATAATCATAGAATATTGAGACACGTCTTCTTGAAACATTCTCCAACTTTCATTGATACACTGGAGTTAGTTGTCGCACGAAACTGTTTTTATTTCAGTGGATTTTTTTAGTTTTGTTCCATGCTCGATAATATGCTTTGGCTAACGAAAATGGAGAGATTTCACTGCACAAAAGATGATGTATAATCTCCACAGCATAATAAAAAGACATTACTTATAAGATTACACATTCACCGTAAGTCAACGTCGGAAATGAGTGATGTTATGAATAAGGAGTTAAAAATGGGCAGAAAAATAAATATCAAAATAAGGGTGGAAGTGTATTCACATACAATAATACTAATTCCCAATGTGATGCAATGAATTGAGGTTTGTTTGACTGTATATTTAAGTGCTGGGACTCTTCTCGATCATCAGCTCGAACTCTCAACTCTTCCGTATTTTGGTAGGCGATCTGCAATGCTGTTGCGTTTTATTGCAACTTTGGGAAGGACTCACAGCACTACGACTCCGTGGGTAGATTACCTTTTGCGAGAGAACTTTTATCAAGCAGAAAAAGGTCGAGGATTTTGGCATCTTTATCTGGAAAAGGTAGAAATGATGAAGTCAACTTTTGTTAAATTACTGCGGTATGCTCTTAGAGAGGATTACAAAGTAGGCCATATAACAACTGCTGGATGTTCCAACGTCCTTTAGCTTAGTATGGGAGCGGCTCTGGCAAACCCAGTATTTTCACGAAAGAAATGCTGTTTTAGCTGATCCAAGAAATTACAGGGTGGCTACAGTAACAAGTTGTTATCAAACTCTAAAGGACTGTTTAGTTTGATACTTCAAAGGCAATAACGCCCCACAAAATATCTCTGGGAAGCCAAACGACCGCTATCTGAGTATTTGATGACAAGAACTTGTATTTAACTTCTCATTACGAGGAAGAGAGTTTTGAAGGATCTTGGATGGCAGCTCCAGCTGGCCATTACTTCCGACCATAATTAACTTTGCACTACCATGCACACTTTGGTGGAATATGTTTTGAATCTATGAAAAATAGAATAAAAATTTGTGGGGCCGTAGAATGAGGTCGACTTAACATTTCTCATTTTTATAGGATCACTAATTTCCCTTAAAAATTTGGTATTTGCTGCCTGCGGTTAAGAGTTACACCGATCTTAAATTGTTTTCTTATCCTTTGCAGCGGAGTTGGCTAAGGCGCATAATCTCGCGAGCGTATTACATGGAATTGTGAGTGAGTATAACTTGCTCACAAACAAAACTGCAATACCATCAAATTTTTGAAGCAACGAGGCGAAGCGACTAGAAAGGAGCGAGAATAGGATAATTGTCGGTAAAGCCTTATTTAAGTAGGCAGGAAATAGTTAGGCCTTTCAACTCCGACATAGCACTTTGCCTCTTGCAAACACGGTGCGCACGTGAGCTATAAAAAGGCAGTGAATAAGAGGAGAAGAGGCACATCTCCTGCACACAGTACACCTAGCGGATAATGCATCGGCGCGCCAGCACAGACTACAGTCGTTCTCCCTACGACTCGATTCATTATCATTCTAACTCACCCGTTGGTAAGTCGACTCACTTCTCGTCCTAATCAAAACATATTATCAAATTGCTGCGGGGATATTGCCACTAGTCTACAGACTACTAGTGGAAAGTGCTAAGCAACGTGTTTTGACTTTTGGTAAATTCATTTTAAGGGTTTGTTAAAATCCGTAAATGTACAAATAAGTCAAATTACCTACAAAAACCTAGCAGTTTTCAAGCCGCAAAAATAAATGGCTATTTGACTACTACAACTCGCAATAATCGCTCGTGTTACACGGATTTTGGTGCTGTCCAACCCCTCTCACTTGTTTGCCAAATATATAAACGAAGATTTATTCAATTTCATTAAACCGTTTTAAGGTTTCTATTGTTACGTATAAATTCTTTTATTTATAAATTCTTTTATTTATAAAGGAAGTGGAAACACCGAAAGCACTATTACTCATCTCCAGTAGATTCTTGGCTTAATAATCAGTGTGATCATACTATAGACTATTAAACTTAAAACGGTAGGATTAAATAAACTTGCCTTACCTTTTCAGCTTTCAAATATTTTGTTGAAAAGACAATCTTTTTCAACGTAGGCCGTAATGACTATCTTATTTTCGCACGCAAATTCACCAATGGGTAGGGTTAAAATGAATTTCAGGGTCACATGACAAAGCACTGTAGAGGCAAAGTGAATAAAACTGCCCACACAAACGAGGTAACCAAACAGCAGCGGAAAGCTTTTGACGATGTTTTACCCGTTAAAATAAATAACGTTATAATCTTTAACTTACATACCTTTCCTGTCAAGATACTGGGGTTGCTAAAACAAAGTTTATGGGGCGTTTTATCACCAAAAGTATATAATTTAGATCTAGCCACATTCACTTCAATCTCAGTTTCATTTTCCAAATGTCCACTTTGCATGTGATTGTGTAATGCCGAGATAGGGTAATGATCAACACCCGGAGGAACAGCATCGGAGGAGTACGAAGGACATGGAAGATGGGCAGCATCATTTTGCAGCGGAATGAGATCATCTTTTGTCGCGTAGGGAAAGAATGTTCTTTTCACTGGCTGACCGGTCTTGACTGTTCCTTATGAGGCAATTTTTCTTGCACATATTCGGGGTAGGTAGATCTCAGCCGTGGATGTTTGGCCTTCAGCAGGAAATTCATAAACAATTCAGTCTGTAGTGCACAACACATAAAAGATGTAGTCTTCTGGAGATGATTTTGTGCCTTACAAGTGTGGGGTATTGAGTGAGTCGTTTGGGACTAATTAAAGATATGTTGATCCACCTACGGAACTTAGCTGCACAAAAATTATCTCTCGTCAAAAGTCAGTTATCTAAAATGGCGCGTTTTTATAAGTGGTGGTTTTTAAAGCTTTTTTTATCTGTTTACACATGACAAATGGGACTCATTTGATCACTTTCTACTGTGACTTTCCCGGTTGATGTTCTCATCCGATTTTAACATAATTGAGAGCTTCCGAAAGGCAAATCTTAAATTATTGAGTCATCTGTGACACAATTCCTCATGATCAAGAATGGAGGGGCCTTCTGAACGCGTTATATTTACTCCTGGAGGATCCATCACTAGAGTCGAATTTGTCAAACCATTTCTGGACGGTTCATTCTGCTACCGTACGTCACAGGTTTCCGGAATGATATTAATGTCGCGAGAAGCTTCTGTGACTTAAAAAATGAATTAACCATGGCTCGCAAGGTAGATAGGCCCAAGTCACATCAATCGGTTTTGGCTGACGCTCAATGCGGTTTCAAAATAAGAAGACAATAATACAGGGTACAGTAATGCCTCGTATTTAATGCATAATAATCATTCTCCTAAAAATTGAGTACATTTTCCAATCCTTACAAGTTACAACAGATTACTATAGTGAGATGTACGGGGAACCTGATGTTTCACCAGACGCATTGTGTTCTGCTTGAGATTCACTTTATCATAATTTAGGTTTACCTCGTTAATTTAAGTTTGCAAACTGCCTCTTCTTTATTCCGTTTTGCAGGCCACAAGCATTAGTATTAACAAATGACATTTTGCAGGTGGCTTGCTAGCATTCCAAGCTGTACAAGGTAAGTGCTTCGACACTCTGTGGCCATTTATGCGCACACAGACATATGCTTGTCGGGGTTAGACCTTATTTACTATTCCCTTATGCACCTACATTGGTTATTTGTCATTTCAATTGGCTAATTTATTTAAAAAAGCAGGTAAATTTTGCGCTCAAGATCAAAGGAGGAAGATCAAATGCCACATGTGTATTTACAAACCATGATATTAAAAGATCAGGTGATCCTGTCAGATGCAGCTTGCAGCCAAGGTCACCATCATCGGGCCGACAGTTTCAGTTAAGATATCCTTGCAGTTAAAGTTGTGTTTTAGTCGTCAACCTTCAAGAGTACTTTGTTTTTTTGTGAATTCCCTCTACGATTTAGGTGTAAACAGGCTTCAACACGTGCCACAGCTAACACTCACGACAGTCAGAGTACATTCCACAAAACAATCTACAAGCAGTCGTAAAAGCCCAACTTACGGAAATAAATATGTATCTTCCGAGAATAGTTTGGATTTTTCAATTTAACTGTTAAATATATTGTATGCCTTGCTTTTTGCGAATGTGATGTTACGGCAGTTGGCGGAAAACGAGAAGTTACCAAATATGCAGGAAAAAGATGCAGATTTTTCCCATCTCTTTATGGGGAAAGCAATATATCGGTAGCATCAGATTTGCAATTAAGGGATCTACAAATGAAACTAGCGTCATTTAACTTGAAAACAACAACAGCTTTTGCGGTCGAATTTTCACTAATTGGTGAGTGCATGCAGAATTTCTACGCGCCCAATGGGTGACGGCACTCTTCTAAGGATGGAAAAGACGAAGGCTTATTCAGCATAGGCATATAGCAGATGCACTTCTTCAGCAAAGGTGTAAGTAAGTATATTTAATTTGCCATTATAAAATCATGATAATCAAGGTTTGACTATTTTAACCTCTTGACCGATAGCATAGAAAATATGGCTAGAAGTATGCAACAAAAAATTCCCAACAGGAATCGGGCACTTACATCCAGCAGTGAAGCTTTTATTCCAGTGTTAAACAGATAGGTTGAACATAGTCTTGGATTGAGACAGACGCCATTTATCAAACTGTCTCCATTAATGACGTTGTCTTCGTAGTGTATTTCCATCAGAAGTTGAGCGAATTAACACCTTTTCAAACTACTCCTACTATTTAGAGGTCGTTTATTTCGAGGAGTTCGTTTAAGTATAAGGGGGACTCAAAGTGCTATGCAAAGAGGGTTAGATGTAACGCTTTTCGGCGATTGTTTCCAGCATAGGACATTTATTGTGACTCCAAAACCAAATCGAATTACAATGGTTTACTAAGTCTTGTCCGAAATAGAGATCTTCCATCCTGGCGTTTCCCTTCACCAACGCAAGCTACTGTAATGGACGCCAGACTTAAAGATGCCTATCTAAAAACATGGCAACTCTATTTTTACTAGGCTTTAATGGACATTCTCCCATCTGTAGACTGGTTTCAAGTCACGCGAGGTGAAGTACTTTTCACAACCACATACGCCAATATCTCGTAAAGGTCTATCGGTAGTAGAAAACCAACTGTTGATCTATTTTCTACGCACTGTTTTTGCATTGGCTAATCGCCTTTAAAGTAGAACACGGTTTCTGCTTAAGTTCTCAAATTTACGTTTCAAGAAGGTTTACAGTTACTGTCAATTACCCCAATTATGTTTCATACAAACTTCTTCTAGCTGACTAAACGACCGACAATGAGTTTGTTTCATGTGTTTTGCTTTTGAAAATAAAAGGGAACAGTAAGATTCGTCGCAAGTATAGTTTAAATAAATAGGTGAATCAACTTTTTAGGGCCTTCTCAATTAAATTGCTATTTTAATAGTTGGGAATGTTACTTTAAAAATAGCGTCTCCAAAATTATTGCAGCTTTTCGGCACTATGAAAAAAGTCCACTCAGGTGTATGAAGTCGATGAAAAGTACTTGAAATTGCCGCTAAAAATGAGGCAAAGTTGCCTCTTGGACAAATTCTATAGGATGTTTGTTGAATACATTATTGTACCATTTCCTCCCAAGGCTTTTAAAATGGTCTTTCATGAAAACGCACTTGTGCCGCAAACCAATGTTTGTGCACAGTTGCTTCGCTTAATCTATGTGTGGTTGATTTTTGTGGGATACCTCAATACCTCTGGTTGTGGGTTTTTTGACAGGCATGCTTGTGCGGTTTACACCCCGCCATCACCTAATCGTCATAATGCATCGGAGCATCTCTACACACTCTGTAAATTAGGGAAAAACTTGCTTCCACAATATTTGAATCCACCTGCCTGAGGATTATCCTAGTCTTGTGATCGTGTTTGTGTCACTGTCTTAGCACTCGCCTGTCTCGTTACGCTGTGAGATAGCAACATGCCTCAGCCATCACAATGAGTTTGCGACAATGCATATTGCATGCAGTTGCCAACCTCCAGAATTTTTTTGGCCATTCATAATTTAAAGGTCATATGTCTAGCCATTTTCGTATCGTCTGTTGATTACTACTCGAAGTGAAAACCAATTCACTCGTATTTTGTCCGATGAGGTATGAAAGCAGCGTGTATGTTCATCAGCCAAATCCTAGATGGTAGGCCCTAAATTAGTACAGTAAGGCAGCCCTGACAAAAAGGATTGGCTTTATTCTTACCGCTATCAAGTACCTTGATTAACCGAACAATATTTTGTAATCGTTTGACAGCGTTATGTCTTTTGCGTAGCACTATTAATGATAAGGTAATACAACGCAGACGAAATTAGTCAATCTCTTGGGCCGGAAATACTGTGCTATTAGTTGTTTTCTTGATTTTCATCAGACTAATCTTGACATGAAGTGGATCTCAGAAGTAATTAAAGCATGATATTTTTTTATTTCGACAAGATAAATGAAGTGAGGGAAGCGTAATGGGTAATGCCTTCATTAGGAAATTGAAATCCATAGCTGTTAGTGCAAGAGTATGATCATTAGTAAAAGAGGATAAGACAAATCAACTATTCGAGTGGCTTTATTTTTTTAATGAATGTTTACTTATCAAGATTGCAACTACTCTTTCTGGCTGAACGGCGATGGTGAATGTACGGAATCGCACTCCTTAAACGCCGATATGCCGCCATACCAAATGAACTGCGAGCAGGCTGAGACCTCGGCTGTTGGGGCACTTTCAAATATCTATTACGATGGCCACCCGTCTCTTCCACAAGATAATGCATCCATCTCAATTGCCATGTCAGAGCCGCCTGACACCATGTGCTGCGGAAGCACCAGCTCAACAGACGACTTCGACTTCGATCAGTCCTATCGTCGGCTTGTTCAAAATGCCAATTCACTTCGGGGAGACGTCTACTTTCAATCGGTATGGTCTCTAATGGTTGATATTTTTATGTTCAAAGTGGGAAAGATTGGGCTTTTCTTGACATTACAACTCAAATTTCTACTCATTTGGTGCAAAGGAATCTGCAAAATTGCGATTTACGCGTCACTTAATGTAGTTCTTATTTACTAATCATAATCTCGAAACGATTCTTAAAACTTTAGCATTTAAAGTTTAGACGTTTTTTCAAGCCCGTCTCAATGCCCAGAAATAGCTTAGTAAGGGTTATAAAGGTAAATTGCAGTGATGAGAGATTGTGCCGCAAATATTGTAGGATGGTGGTGGAACATCCTCACTTGAACAGCCCCTTAGTTCAACTACAAGGTCTGCTAATCTAGTGGACACTTAAAGATAAAACGGGTAACGAATATCAGTAGAGGCGATTACAGCTTCACAATTTTTAAACTCGAAAATAAAGTTTATAAGATTCCGCTTATTAAACCAAAAGGACACACAAATAATAGCGCTGTTTAGAGGTTGACTAACACTGCTTTTTATTGTCCGTTCTAGTGTCAACATCTATCTTCAAAAGCACTAACAAATCAGCGGCAAAAGCCAAACACTCTTTCAAGTGTCAAAACACAAGAAGGCGCCCATGGTACCAATTTGCGAAAGACATCGGACAGAGACTTTGAAATGGAGAGAGAGCTGCGTCGACTAAGAAATAACGAGGCTTCGCGGCGCTCAAGGCGGGAGAAGAAGCGCCGTTTTCTTGAAATTGAGCGTCGCGTAGAAGAGATGAAAGCCTCTAATAAACGTCTCTCGGATTTCGTATTGGAGTTGGATTCCATCATTGAGGAGGCAAAGGCAATGCTCCTTGCCGTGCGAACGCCCGGAGAGCCCTGCCCGCCCGCTCTAGGTGGGTATATAAATAAATGACGTGCACTAAGTTCGTTTCGATCTCATCCTAACTGTGCAAAAGAGCAAACGCTTTGCCTTTCCCGAAAGCGCATTTCGTCTCATCTGTGAAAAACGCCAATCAAACAGCTATTTTCAGCCTATGTATTCTTTCATTTCTCTCACCCTTTCGATGAATTTTAAATTACAAAATTATTTTTATAAAGCATCAAACAAGTCAACAGTTTGGATTGACAAAGCACTTGTTCTCTGTTAAAGAGTGTGCTCACAAAAATGTTTAAAATCGGGATATTCATTCGATACTTCAGCTCAATATTCCACAGCGTCGAAATTACTCATAAACAACCTACTTAGGTCATCGCTTATTCTTACTTTAATAATGGAAAACCGCAGCTAGAGAATTTGGTCAGTACAACGCCGAGTTCAAGGCGGGAATGTACCATTGGGGAGATTAACAAATGTTTGTCAGTCAAATGTAAAGGAACTGATTTAATGTTTCTCGTAAAGGCGCTTTAAATAATAGTTCCTCTATTTATTTCCCATAATGCCACTACCCAGCTCCAATCATGTAGTGATAGTGAGTGACGAATAGCATACATCAAGTGCACTTCTTTGGTACTTGGGAATAATCAATGGACGTCAAATAATATGGTTTGTATTTAAGGATGCACAAGGGGTGTAAATGGTATACACCGCTACAGTATTTGAGAATAAGCTTAGGCTTAACATCGCACTAGCTAAGCAGTAATCAAAATAAGTCAAAATAATAAGAAATTTTCTCATCTAATTGAAATTTTCTGATCTATTTCCCTTTCTGTAGGGTTCTATGCTCGTAACAATCCAGACCCAGTTTTACGCATCTAAACCACGCGCTCGCAAAAGTCGCCCGGTTGTTGTGAAACCAAGTAAAGGGTGTGCGTGGGTCATCGTTCTTCGTTGATATCGCGCCTACTTACTAAATGGAACTCCATGAATGGATGCCACTTAATTGCACCTTGTATGTAAAACCTCATCCATGCAAGAAGCCGCTGGCCTAGTTAGTTTTGCGAAATCCTTTGTAGTACGATAATTGCTTATCTCTCGGTTCTAGCGCAGAGTCAATTTTGACTTGGCCATTGTACCACGCTGTGTGGGCTGGTTTTTGGGCCGTGCCAGTAGCACAAGTACCTTCTGCATGTCGAGTATACGTGTTCTGACCGATTATAATGTCCTCTTTTGTAATCTGGAAAGTCTCTAGGTGATACATCTTATTCAGGAAAGGCTTCATTATCTTGGGTAAAGACATTTTTGGGCCTTAGAAATCTGCATCGTTACACCATTGGTTTATACATTACGAATAAACAGTTTAGCTTCGGTACATTTAGAAACCCCTTCACAACTGAAGTGTTAGAAATCAACTAGTCATATAACAGTGGCCGAGAATTTGTAATGATGACTTTCGCAATGAAACGGCGATGTGGAAGTCCTCATTTCCACTGCGATTTGGAAATTCAAACAACATCTTTGAGGTACCGCCTCAAAATCACCTAGAGTTCATGCCTTTTGGATATAGACAATTTTGCTCTCTCCAAACGACTTCAGTCCTGTGTTTCTGGTGCTAGAATTGGGGCACAAGATCCTTAACCTTAATTCGATTATTTTGTTTAACATACCTTATACGTGTCCCATACAAATTATCTAGGTCATTACATCTCCATATGATTGGGTAGAGTAAGATTGTTTATGCTTTTCAAAGTTTAGTAGCGGCTTTGATTTTATCATTAGGATTTGTAAATGATATTGTTTGGAATGTATAGTTTTATTGTGAGTTGACAATCGCGGTAATTGCCAACCTCTTAGTATTGAGTCGTGTGGTATAGTCACACTGGAACATTACTCATTTATATAGCTTAATCTCCCAGATATTAGTGGAAGGATAATGCGCTATGTTACTGAAGTAAGCACGTTACTTTTCGTCTTACTTGTAACAATAGAATGCCAAACTTTATTGAAGCATTTGCTTACTTGACCTACTTTTATAACATTAATGATTGGTATAATTTTTGTATCGTTTATATATTGACTATTCACTTTTTAAATCGGGCTTTGGCTTGTCCTTTATTGTTTTAGGGATATGGAACGTTGTACAGTCCCCTTATTATCACTTGGTTTTCGTGCCAAACTGAAAACAGCTTGTATCCTATTCGCTGTTTGTACTTTCACTCTACTTTATGTCACCAGCCACCTCTTTCCTCGTCTTCATCCTGACTTCTCAAATTCATTTCATTATGAAGCTTCGACGACTTCGGACACTAAATACCATCCTCGTTGCACAATGGACACCTGTTTTGATAGCTCACGTTGTTTAAAATTTAAGGTGCGTACCTTAAACGTTTAAGACTTCTGTTCTGCTGATATTTATTGAGTCTTTCATTTATTGTAGGTCTACGTCTATCCTGATGATCCACGCGCCCCAAAAGTGTCCGGAAACTACCAAAAAATCCTAGATGCAATTAGACGATCACCGTTTTATACTGCGAACCCAAGAGAAGCCTGTCTGTTTGTTCCAAGTCTTGACACGCTTGATAGAGACCCCCGCAGTTTCCAATATATTCCGGATCTCCACAGGCGTTTAAACCGGCTACCATATTGGACCTCGCAGCCGAGTTCCTTTCAGCCAATGCTAGGTTTGCATCTTGCCATGTTTGTTTTCTTGTTGCAATAATGAATCAATTTACTTGAATGATGTGCTACTTCAGTTAAGTCTTACATATTCCAAACTGATGTCATATCTCCGGTTCTGCACGATTTTCCTCAAAGTTTATCCCCCTTTTTGGCGATTCGGCATGCTTTGTGCTTCTGCAAACATTTAAATAGTCATAAAACGATCGATTATCCGAGGTAGTTTATTTGCAAAGCCGCGATCAAGGATGAGTGAGGGGCAGTTCGCCTACACAAGGCAAAATAGATCTCGGTGATACCGACAAATAGTCGTTTAGATATGTACGTGCAAATAATCACGGGGAGTCTTGGCAACCTAGTCAATTTTTGTTAATGCTTATGTACTTAAGGCGAAGGCAGTGCTTCAATATCTAACGACTATTGTTTAAGATCTGTTCTATTTTTACTAGCTAGTTTATTCTCTTTTAAAGATAAACGATCCCGATCCGGTATGAACCATCTCCTTTTCATCCTCTTTCCTGGGAGCTGGCCCAACTACGATATCGACGAACTACGGATGGACGTGGGGAACGCGATGTTAGCTCGTGCCTCGGCGTCGAAAGTGCGCATGCGAACGGGTTTTGACATTTCTTTTCCCCTCGTAACCTCGAATTATCCCGAGGCAGGTCAACCGCCACGCTATCCATTCACCGAAGATGCCCGCGTCAGGCTTAATCTGCTCACCAGTTTCAAAGTAATCTACACATAACATAATTGCCGTCTTTTTCTTAAGTACTCTATCATTTCACTTCCATCGTTGTCTAAACGTCCACTACTGTCCCTCTTTTTTACTAACTATTGAAGCAACCTTTTCGTATAATGTGATTATGCTCCATTACTACATTTTTTTACAACCAGATTTTCAGCATTAGGTATCTGCATTTGGATATAGTCAAATGAGGATTTCACTTTGTTTACAAATATTACCCACACTTCATGAATACAACTTCATTACCGTCACAATTATCCATTCTTAATTGGATTTGCCAAATTACCCCAATTGGATAGTATAGGAGTTTGTTATTTATTTTCTATTCGACTTCTCTTTTGACTTCCAATGGGTAGCATCTTGCAGTTGATGAAGTCTCGTCTTTGCCAAGTATATTTTTATCTCGGTTTACACCAAGTTTCATCAATTAAGCAACGACCTACTTCATTTTTCCTTACACATGCCGCTTCGACCCTGTGAAAACGCGCAGTCCAGTTTAAAGGTCGATCACGTGTTGGCTTACTTTTAACAAGTTTGTCTACACAGGAAAATCTGGTCTTATTTTTGCTTTCTCAGTCATTCAGAGTCGCATGAGTGCTTCATCCATCGAAAGTACTATCAGAACTACTTTGTTTACTTTCAGGGAAAGCGGTATGTGGTTGGCATAGGATCGGAGACTCGAAATGCTCTCTATCACATTCACAATGGGAAGGATATAATTATGGCCACGACTTGTAAACACTTGCAAAATTGGAACCTCTATGCTGATGCTCGTTGTGCAGTCGACAATGCCTACTACGAAACGTATGCTTCACTAACTTTGAATATACACAACGCTTTAAGCAGCCTGATGTCTGACCAAAGGATAATGAAGTTATTAGGAAGTGTTAATGCTAAAAGTCCAAGTTATTATTTCAGAACAACAACAGATTTAAGTAAATATAAGTTTTAGTTTGCTCGCAAAGTTTATCACCCGTGACGGTATAGTTAATTACCTCAGATAATGGTGTGAAAATCCTTTTATTCCAGTGTGCTAAATCTTTATTTATCTTGGGTTATTGTCTTTGCAGATGGTAATGTGAGGCTACCATTATTTAACAGCATTTCCATCCAGACTGATGCCTTTTGTCTTTTGCATTTAGATCCTTAGATAACCGTACGGTAGATCTCTGTACCTGTTTAATGACATACAAATACTTGATTCCGTTTTATAATCTGACTCATAGTCAACACAGCGTCGTTATGATGCGTACCTCACCAAAACCCGCTGAGATTTTGAACGTAATCGACCTTGTTTGTATCCACATTAAAAACCAGAGTTTACTTATTATGCAATGTTTTCACAGGCTTTGCCGCCAGCTGACCTTCTCGTTGCCGTTCTATAATGAAATGACCTATTTTCGCAGTTTCATTGAGTGTCGACGTTTTCGTATTTGGTAGAGAGAATATAGATAGGAAAAGAGGCGTTAAATATTGTGTATTTCCTAAATAGCTTCACGCCATCTTAGCAAATAACTTGCCCCTTGGTTATTCGTAACATTATGAAGCTCTCATTCTTTATTTAAAGCATGTATAATTGCTGCATTTATAACTACTTCTTTAAAATGACTTATCGGTGCTTTTGCTCTCAGGGTCTCGTACGAAGAACTACTTCATAATTCCACTTTCTGCCTCGTTCCCCGTGGTCGACGTCTTGGTTCTTTCCGGTCTGCGTTCTTACTTTCTTTATTGCCCTTTTACTTCGTTCTGATAAACGATCGCCTAAATTGATCTTTTATCTACACGGCATTCAAACATCTGAGATTTTCCTCCAGCTTATTTGTATTCCCACTTTCATGTAAGTCTTCGGATGGTGTTCGCTTAGAGATTTTAGTACATACTGTGCAAGTGCATTGTTTCCCTTCAGCCGACTACGGTTGAAGGCCGTGATTATTTGGATGTGGCCTTGGGCGCCTTTTGCTGCGAATAAGGTGTTGTGCCCCCTAGCACATACCTCTACGGGTGGGTTACATTAAAGGGGAAAGTGAGGTAGATGTTTTTTCTTACCGTACGTTGGCAATCTTGCCTGCCTACACGATATTCTGTAATTTATTCATCCTTTCTGTACTTTGCATCTACATCTTTCTGTAGAAATCAAGTTATAAGGCAGCAATTGCCTATGACTTCTATCCCACCATTTTTTCACAAAGGTAGTTTGTTCTTGCACTCACTTTTTATCATGAAATTGAATTTAAGAATTTATTTTGTGAAATTTTTTAACTTAAATGAAGAAGTGGTTTGCTAAATGATAATTTATTCTCGGAATTATTAAAAATAATGAAGGAAAGACGTTATTAAGAGCATTTAGATACTGTGCTATGGGTGCTTTGGCATGTGGGTATACCTACCATTGCGAAGTATTGGTTGCAGGTTCCTGGAGGTACTGGAAGCGGGTTGCATTCCGGTGCTTCTGGCCAACGATTGGGAGTTGCCCTTCTCAGAGGTTATCGACTGGAGTCAAGCGGCTGTCATAGCGGACGAGCGGACGCTCTCCCGACTGCCCGACCTACTGCGCAACTTGCCCGACAGCCAAATAGTCAAGATGCGTGAGCAAGTACGCTTCATCTGGAGTAGTTACTTCCGCTCCGTCGATGCTATCGTCCATGTCACACTCATGGTAAGGCTTCTTAAATCCATACTCAGAAACATCTCCACTTTCCCTAATTATAGTGAATCTCCCTGATAAACCTTATCATATTCATGAATTTTTTTCAGTAAACTCATTGGTATAATTACCATATAGACGTGATTAGATATTGGATTTGGTTATTTTGCTCCTTTCACGTATTATGTAAACTTTGGTTCCCTAATTAATTATTATTCTTGTGCTCCAGTCTATTCGTGACCGTTTAACGTTGCGCCAAAAGAATTATGATATCTGGAATAGAAGACCAGGTGGTGTAGTGTTCTCTGAGTCAACCACCATCAACGGTTGCGAGTATCCATCGCCGAGTCTCCCTGTGAAGTGTCAAGGTTGGGTCCTTTCATATAAACTACACTTCGCATGTCAAGTGCATGGTGTACAAGCTGTGTGCTGATAATTATTATTTACTTTACCATTTTGATGTTTTTCTACTTGCTTTTGAGTTATGCTGACATCACTTGATCATTTGACGTTCTCTTTCACAATGTTAGAATTTACTTCTACCATAACTCAATGTTTAATTTCATTATGTCTTATTTATTGTCTTTTAGATGACATAAACAAAGGCTTCACTTTGATGATTACAATTCGTCAGCCTTTCTGTGCAGACTTCATGGAGCGCTCGGGGAAACTTGCCTCCGTGTTTGTGCGATCTCGACACCTCAAAAAGGTTTGTCGTGAGAGTATGCGCGGATTTTGGATGAGTTGTTCTTGCACACTACCGTGGAGCCAGGACTCACTTGCTCTTGCAGAAAGTTACTGATGTGTCCTCATCTTTTCTTCTGCACATGCGTTCAAATTAGTGCAGACACTGCAGCAGCGGTGATGGTGGCAGTGTGAATATTAGTCTTATCTGTCCATACCACTTACGTTGTAATGAGCTAGTACGTACCAGCAAAATATCTGGTGATATGTGTAGGTCGATTGGTATGGTCTGAAGATTTCCTGTGCTAAGCTAGGTTACTAAAATTGGATATTGTTTTCACTGTTAATTCCGATAAAAGTGTACAATGCATTTGTAGGGTAGCATCCTACAACTTCATTAATTTATGCTTGGTCAGCTGTTTAGTTGGAACTATCTAGGTGATGCTACAGTTCAGATATTTTCTACGGTTAGTGAGCTTAGCGACCTGAAATGTTAAATTTGCTGTTACTTGGGCGTGCGTTTCCATTGGATTAGGTTATCATAGTGTGGCAATGCAGCAACCAACTACCGCCCTCCACCGAAAAGCTCTCGGCGGAGGTGTTCAACGGTCTGCCTGTCTCCCTCTCCTTTGCACCACTATCCAAAACCCAGTCTTCCACGACCTCCACAATCCCCTCTCCCTCTAATCGCTTCCTACCCGCTCACAAAGACATCCCCACCATTGCTGTTTGGAGTGCTGAACTGGACGTTGCCAATTCTTTGAATTTACATCAAGTAGGTTTATAACCACTATTTCCTCCCCCTTTGAGGATGCTGCGACTTTTTGGAGTATTTTCTTCATATAGATTGATTCTGCCTATGCACTGTGGCTGCAACACCCCAATCGCCTGATTGGATTCACTGCTCGTACGCATGTCTGGGATAGCAAGATGGGCGCCTGGAACTACTTCGTCAATGCCTCTTCCCACGGCAACTTCTCGATGGTCCTTCTTAATGCCGCCGTTTATCATAGGTGAGATAGTTCGGTATCCGTTTATTGAGATGGGTTCCAAGTATTCATAAACTAACCTTTCATCTATCTCTCATGGCATCCCACTTTGGTTTCACGACAAATAAACAAGCACTGCCTTTCTTGTAGCCAGAAATTATCACCAGATAGCGATGCACTGGGCTGAATCCAGAATACTTAAAGGTGTATGGTCTTACGTGGTTTCCTTCCCCGTTGATAGACAATTTTGTTTATTTTCATACTAATTTAAGCTTCAGTTTAGGATACTGTGACTACGTAAATACAATAACATCTTGCTTTTGCTTTATTAGACATGATTACCGGTATTCCGCATAAAAGCTA